ATGGTTGACAGTGGGTCACAAAGCTCCTCTTTGCATTCTTTAAGCACCCTAGCAAACACTTCATCCGGCCCTGGGGATTTGTTTGGTTTGAGTTTTACTATTTGTTTAAGAACATCCTCCCTGGTAACTGCTAAACTCGTCAACCTGTCCTCGTCCCCACCCACATAGACTTGTTCGGCTGAAGGCATATTGTTAAGTTCCTCTTTAGTAAATACAGATACAAAATATTTATTAAAAATACTACTCATCTCTTCATCACTATCTGTTATTTGACCTGTCTCAGTTTTTAATGGACCTATCCTTTCCCTAGTCTTAGTACGATATAACTGAAAAAACCCTTTAGGATTTGTCTTTGCTTGCCCTGCTATGCGAACTTCATAGTTTCTTTTTGCTTTCCTTATCTCTTTTTTAACATTTCTAACCAGTTGTACGAATTCCTGTTCTAAAGTGACCTCCCCATTTTTAATCCTTTTGTACCAAGCTCTCTTTTTACCTATAAGGTTCTTCAAATTCTTTGTTATCCACTTTGGGTCATTAGTATACGATCTATTCAATTTGTATGGTATACTACGTTCCTGTGCTTTGTTTAGAATATTCTTAAATAAGTTATATATTGAATCCACATCGAAATCCCCATTTAAGTCACCTATCGCTGGGTTCATGTCTCGCTCCAAGACCGGCCCACACCCCATACCCAAGCCATTCCAATCAATTTGACCCAAAAAATTTCTTAGGCTATTAAAATCAGCTTTTCGAAAATCTGGCACTTTAACAGAATTTTCTCCTACTGGTCTATTCCATTCTATGCTAAATCTGATTTCTTTGTGATCACTGCTCCCTAGCTCACTCCCTATTTCGATGTCATTAATTTGCGTTTCCCTGTTAGTTAACACTAAATCTAAAATATTATTTTCCCGTGTTGGTTCCTTAATGTGTTGCGTAAGAAAGCAATCGTCAATTAATTCTAGAAAATCTTCTGCTTCACTATTCCCTGTTTTGTTCAACCAGTTTATTCCGCTAAAATTAAAGTCACCCATGACATAAATACTGTTAGATCTAGATGCTCTAGATATTTCATCCCATAGATGCTTTGCTTCCATTCTGTCTAAATTTGGTGGCCTATATATTACTCCTATTATAATATTATTAGCTTTTTCGTTTAATTCAATCCAAATAGTTTCTGTGTGTGGCTCTGTTTTGATTCCCTCTTTGAGACTACATTTCAAATTGTCCCTAACATATATGGCTACTCCACCTCCTCGTCTAATATATCTATCTGTGTGAAATAGTTTAAATCCATATATTTGATATTCAGCTAATAGTTCTCTATTTTCTACATTCATCCACGTTTCGGTAAGTGCAATAATATCTATTTTTTCTGTGCAGACAAGAGCATTTAATTCGTTAATTTTATTTCTTAGACTTCTACTGTTAGTGTAATATACCCTAAGTGAATTGTTATTTTGCGGACCTTCTCTTTCCCTGATCGTTTTGCCAATTCCTTTCTCCCACAAACACATACTTTTATTACCTCCTTCCTCCAAATCAATTCCCATACCTCTAACTACTAACAGTTTAAACCCAAACAAACACCTCTAACCACTTCTTCTAGCGAGTTCGCAACAGCAACAACCCCAGCTCTCGATAGATGCACCCCATCACGAGCATACATTTCATTTCTTCCATAAAAGTGTTCCCAGTTGTCTATGAAAGATATTGCATTTGATTTGCAATATCTTTCCAGCCGGCAATTGACACCAAGTGCCCTCGATATCCATTCATTTCCCACTCCCTTTCTTGGAAGAATGCCACATATGATCGGGATTCCTCCCTTGCTCCTAACTAACTCTATGGCTGTTTTATACCTCTGAATCAGTTCCTCACTCCTGACTCGACCAACATCATTTCCTCCCACGCTAATGCAAATAATGGGATTGTTCCCATTACCAGCCATAATATCATTCATGTTGTTTATAATATCACCAATGCCAGCTCCGGGATAGCAAACCCTTAACCTGTTCCCCCTATCTCTAGCACAAAACGTTCTATCCAAATACCTTATCTGGGAATCTCCCACAACTAATGTTTGCTTAGGTACTTCCTTTACTTTCTGAGGGGCCTGCGCTTCCTTTCTCTTCGTTGCTTTCCCTTTTGCGCGATCCACAGTCTCTCCACAGCACTCGTCCTCCAAAACGTCAAATGAATTTGAAGTTGCTATGGCGTTTGAAGGCGGCTTTATCAAAGTCTTCTTAAGGCCCCTGTCTTTCGCAACTCTCCAAGACGAGGTCCCTTTACTGCTGGTCTCCTCCTTCGTTACTTCTCGTAGTTTTTTAAGCTGACGCACCTCCTCCCGCAGAGAGTCCAACTCTGTCCTCAGGGCTCCCACTAGAGTCACCAGGTCCTTCACTACAACTTCCATATTGCTATAACAACACTCAGGAGCTCCGGTTAACACAACCTCTCACTGTGACTTCACCTGACCTTCACCTGTACGCAGGTCTTCCGATGCGTACATGTGTGTTGTAGTTGAACAATGTGTTCAGTATGTGTTTATGGGATGGTTGGCGAAGTGTTGATCATGAAGTTTGATTATATAGCGCACAAATGTAGCTTTTATTCTTCTAAGTAAAGATTAAATATATTAAAGCGCCTTTTGTACTTTAGACTTTAAGCTCGTATAATTATGACTATATAAACTGAAATTACTTGAATGGAACCACGAGAAAGTTAAACATGAAAGTGGATCCTGTGTGGCAGGTTAGTTTTCAAGTAGGTAAAGGCAGCAGCAGCAGCAGGAGATTGTACTAATCAGAGCAGTGGGCTAATCTTCCTTCTCTGGGACAAGATAGTGGCATGACACAGATGGTATGGTGAACTTTGGACAGGTGTGGAGCGGACGGCGGTGGCGCATGATCCACACACCTGACTACTGCTTTTACCCAGTTATCAACTTGGGGCGCTGCTGCTGCGTTCCTATTTGGTTTACCGTTGTCGGGGACAAAGCCCGTTTTCTTAATAGGATTTGTCACTTTACTTTAACAGGTAAACTGGGGCATCAGATGACAAACATGCCAGACGTTTCGCCCTGCCCAGGAATAGAAATGATGCAATTGGTGGTCGGGATTGAATAGATTTTGGTTACTGGGTTGATTTTTAGCTTCTGGGGATCAAATTTATTACTGTTTTTGCATCTTATGGTTGATCACTTCGGTAGTTTAACTGGTTGTTTACGCGCAGTCGGTTCAGAGAATTCTACTCCCTAAGCACATGGTTGACGTCGTGAGGGCTGAATCTCTCCAAATGTCCTGGGACATCTTTCTTGTCGAGGATTGTCGAAAGTGCTTAAAACGTGACGAATAATATAATAGTAATAATAATTATTAAATCTTAGGGGAAAATACATGCATACAAAATTAGTTTAAAACAGAATGTTGGATTTCTAGATGGAGCTATATACTATGCCTGAAGCCACTTTGACTGACAGCGTTTCGGGCAAGATGTTAGACAAAAAGACAAATAATTGAGATCAAAAGCATGAAATTTAACTGATGTAGATAAAAAGAATGACTACAATTACATATTGAATGGAATGGTAGAAATTGCATTTAGTACATTCTAGAGTTTTTTTCGTTTAAGAAATTTTAGCATATTACAAAGTGCTCTTTTTATCGGGAACGATTATGCAAAATAGTACTTAGTTCAGACAACTTCTAAATATTCTATAAAGTTCCATCTTGGGCAAAAAGCATATTTGCTCTTTATGCAAGACTGATCCCGAGTGTTCCAACAGGCTAATTGAACATTACCCCCTTGGTTGGCTCTGGGTTTCCTCCAGAATCAACCTTGCATCTGGATTCGCTTGGTGACGGGTTTGGCATAAATTTATTGGATGTAACTAATAACACCAGCGTTAAATAAAATGCGAAAATAATTAAAACATTCTTTTGGTGTCACGGTAATTAATGGGTTTATTTACCCTACAGTGAAACAGTAATTAGGCATAACGTTGTGTTGAGGAAAAAATGTTCACAGATGAACTTGTTCAGCAGTGAACAAACAAGTGATCTTGATTAACACTTGGCCAAATAATACGTTGACACTGCAATTGATGGAATATGTGGAAGCCACTCACAAACCTTGCATCAATGCATGCACAATTAATCAATGTTAACTCTTGTAGCTTCTCTGTTCTGAAAAGGCATGAGATGTATACTATGTCAACAAACTGAGACAAGAGTGAAGTACATTGAACTCTTACCACTACGTCAGTAGGAAGTGGCAATGTTTGTGTGACGGTTATGACTTGGAAACGCAAGAAGACAGTTGAGAGGACGCAGTCTTGCTGAGCTGTAACGCACAACGAAGTTCACTGCTAACAGGCTGCAGGCTCAGCACTAATATTCTCCCACCGGGTTGAGAGAACACTTCTACTAAAAGCTAGACTTTCTCTAATTCATATTCGTAGCGTTATGCGAGTATCAGTGCTGTAGATGCTATCCAGGTGGCGGCGGTGTATAATAACTAGAGGCATGTTCACCACCTGGTCAGGGGCAACATTTTTAACCTTTTCCATTTTTTTACACCATTACGTTAAACACTTCCTGGGGTGAAGCGCGAGAGTATCCCAATTCCAAGTTGCGGTCATACATCCCTTACTACTACAGTCTTCCAGGCTGCACCATAGTTCAGAGGTGGTCCCCCCCTCCCCCAGCGCTGGCTGATATGCGCGCCCCCTACTCTCCTGGTGTGACTAGTAGAGCACAGGTGCTTTCACACGGCCTTGCAGACAAATTTCGTACTACTGTAAAAAGTTGTCCTCCACACTCAAATTGTAAACTGTTCATTTTGATATTCTAAGTTCATTAACGCGGGCACTAAATTCGAAAGAGCAGTTTCAAGAACTTTGAAATATTTTGATAATCTATTTTAGGATAGGCTTCAACATTGCTAATTATTGTATACAAAAATATTTACCTTTGTAAAAAGTGTTGCTTCTACAGGATCCACAAGCCAAGGGATTCACTATTCTCGTGGTCGTCGGGGTTCACCCGCTACGAGGGCTTCGTCAACTGGGGCGGCCTCATCCTCTTGCTGGGCGGCATTCGTCTCTTCCTAGAAAACGTTTTGAAGTGAGACCAATTTATACTATAATTAGAATATAATGTATTTAATGAATCGGTTTGTCAAAATTTACTTTAAAATGCCAAATGTTTGAGGCTTAAGTTGTTGATTAAACTCCAAAGAAGACTTATTTGGTGGGTATTGTATTGCTCAGAGGTCAATAAACTACCGCCCGTATAATTAGAAGGCGCACAAAGTCGAGAAATTAAAAACTGTTCATAAATGTTTACTGATAGTTTACACATTTACAATGTTATTTACCAAAGTCGTCCTGGTAGCATATTATATAATCACTAATGCTACGCTGTATAATCTACAGATTTAGAAGCTACATTTATCAGTCAAATCATTACAGGTGTAAGACTCGGGGATCTCTGTACCAGGGGAGGGCGCACAGTAGCCACGGCCATCCAGGAACGATCACTGGACAATGTTGTTGTTGTTAAAGATTTAGCTACTCAGGACGAAGTGTCCATGTAGCACGGGCTACGGTGAGCCCGTAATGGACACTGGACAAAATCAAAGTAGTTTAAATATGGCCAGCCATCCCCTCTCCTCTCCTCTCCTGCATTGCTACAGCCACACCGTGCCCCCCCCCCCGACTTTATATCTTGCTTGTAAAAGTATTAAATTCAACTCTAGTTCTTCTCTGAGCGCAACATTATTCACCAACTGGGTCTGTCGGTGCTTAGTAGTCAAATTAATCTTAAAACCATTTGGTGGGTGGCAGATATGGTGTCCGCATCAACCCGGTGTCGTGGTTGCTGTGGTTCAAACACGAGCACGAGATGGACAACTACTTCCACACGCCGCTCTTCCTCCTGGGTAAGTGTCACCCTCTCCTGGGCCGCCCCCCCCCCCCCCGCCACACTTGCCTCTACATACATCTATTACTTGTACAGGGATTTGGCAGTTTTCTTTTTAATGATTTACCCATCCTCAGAATGCACTTTCCTGGCATGACATTCATCAGTTAAATGGCTTTCACCTTTGGTCTTCAGTAATTATTTTACACGCAAAACCATATTACAATGAACACGTAATGTTATAAACCTAAAAAAAAAAATCCTTTTGAAAAGATAAAAAATGGAGTCGATTAGTTTGTTGAATAACTGCTAGAACCATGTTTGGTTTCTTAATGTATACTGATTAAAGTTCTTAAATTTGATTATAAGATGTAATCTAGCACAGCGTGGTTAATACACACCATTACATTATATTGTTTACTTGGACAGGTGCCAACGTTCACGTGCTGATCGCCTTCTACCTGGAGCACCTCCTGGCTAGAGTAAGAGCATCAACTGTCCATATCCATATATATAGGCCTTGCTTATTTATTATATATAAGAAAGTACATTGGGTTGTGAGAGTATATAACATTGGTGGTGGTGCTACATTCTTGCAAAGCCATTAACACTCATAGCTTCTACTTATATGTCTGTCCCCCCCCCTCCTCACACTGCAAATAATCCCCCCCCCCTTCCCACCATCACTCGCCTCCCTCCGTGTCCCATGCTCCGTGGCAGCAAGCAAGAACTCTCACTGCAACAGTTGTATTCCATCTCATTTTGAACAACTCTATTTAATGCAGCAAGTGCAATTATCAATTCCAATATTTTGCCTGTTAAAAACTCTTGCTCCTCTGTATTCTCTGGAAGCTGGCAGATGTAATGTTAAGCAGATAGGTCTATAGTTCATGATGCATTGTCCTGGAGATATTTGCCACGCAATTTCCTTATTTTTTATTGTAACGTATACGATTTAGTGACAGGATTCGGAGTGTAGTGGTTTTTTGTGTATTTGTCTTGGTTACTGCAGTCGGATATTGGAAATGTAATGACGTGTTAGTTGAGATGAGGATGCTTGCGAGGCTTAGAACAAAGCGCTTGAGCGTCCCTGTTACCGGACTGGTTGTCTCTCCTGTTGCGGGGTCGGACGCCGTACCGGCCGTAGGTAGAAGAGCTGGGAGAAGGTCGCCTGGTATCGTCACCGTCGGAAGCTTATTTGCGGTGAGCAGCCTGTTGGTGTGGACGTATAGGTTGACGTCGTTGCTCGCCAATTTGTCGGCGAGGTGTAGAAGTACCGGTAGGAGGGTGTTGGTGGTGGTAACTGCAGGCTTGGGTCGTAGTTGCGAGGGCTGCGGAGGTGAGCTCGAAGGTGAGGGACCAAGTAGTGGTGAAGTAGCAGCAGCTTCCCCAGTGTTCTCGGGCAAGGCCGGAAAAGCGGACGTAGGCGGGTTGGCTAGCAGAGTTGAGGTGGTGCGTGCCGTTTTTTATTTTCTCCCCTTCCTCCTGCCGGTGGAGACAGTCGGGTGAAACTGCAGTGTGCGGGCCATTCCAGAGTAGGCAGCGTCGGTGGGAGGATGTGCAGGCTGTGTAGTGATGCTCCTGGGCACAGATACTGCATTTCTGCACTTGCTCGGTGCACTTACTGGTGTAGTGGGAGTGCCGGTAGCACTTAAAGCACTTGCGGAGCTCTGTGTATCGTGCCTTGGTCACGTGGGCAGGTGGAATCTTAATTCCGGCCCATTTAAGGCATTGTTCTTTGGCGTGGGTCGCTGCGATGACCGTGCTGAAGGTCACTTTGTGTGGGTCTGCGGGTGTTGTTGGTCCTGGTCTTGGCCACTACCACGGTCAGCGTCGGGTTCAGGGAACTGATGCTGGCGAGGATGTCGTCGTCGCTGCGGTCGGAGATCCTTGTGCTGATGTCTGGCAAACAGTCCTGTCCGCCAGGTAGCGTCGTGGAGGAGTGGGGGTGAGGGCGGCGTCTAGCAGGGTAGTCGGGGGGGGGGGGGTGGTGGCGGCGAATAGCTTCTGCAAGTCGTTGTCGCTGGAGAGGAGAAGGCGAACACCTTCTCTGGTCTCCAGGATGTCAGCCGGTGAGACATTTCCGATGGTTGAGACCTTTTCTAAGATCTCAGCCGGAGAGGAGGCGAACCTTGACTCTGTGCAACATGGTGCAGGTACCATAAATGTTTCGGTCTGTGCGTCTTTGTCGCAACTCAGTCTTCACCTGGGTTGTGATGTGAATCGTGCCGATTCTACGTTGTTATAGATTCAGCTACTCGGAACAAGTTCAAAGTAGCACGGGCTATGGTGAGCCCGTAGTGGACTTACCTGGCACAGGGGTGGTGCCTGTGTTGCCGATTCTACATTCATGACTGTTTTGTAATGCCCGCTGCACCTGACTTGCCAAGGTGACCATCTTGCTGGTTACTTCTGCTGTCCAAAGTGATTACTGGAAATCTTGGGAACATGTATTACTTATTAGTTCACATGGTATTATTGGAGAGCCTCTTGGAATGTGGAATTCTTAGGAATAAGTGTTGGAATTAATAGGAACATTTAGGTGTCTGCAATAGAACTTGAGAATTGTATAGCAACTATATTACCCTTATATAATTACTACACTTGCCCTTGGTCCTTGGGACCTTTTTGAATAGGTGATTAACTGACAAACGCCAATCGGTAAGCTTGGTAAACTGGAGGCAGCGAGTCCTTTCACTTGTCCAGTGTCCCCCCCGGCACCCTTAATCTTTAACTACACCAACTCAAATGAGAGAAAATGGTTTGTGTACACAAGGTGTACACCTTGTTATCACACAATTTTATCTTGGCTTAGGTTCTAGTAATGGTTCTTGCGTTTTGTCTAATCCCTCCTAATATAACCGTAAGTTATGCTTAATCTTCTACACATGCTTTGACCTCTAGTGTAGTTTTGTTGTCTTGCCTTCCATTATTCTATTATCTGGTTGTATGCTGGTAATTCTGGAGGCGGCAGATACATTATAGCCGGAGAAGACGAGACACGCATTAGAATGGCTTAGATGTGGTGATGGATGACAGAGGAAGAATTTACTAAGTAGTTAACCCCCGACAATATTTAAAGTCTCGAGGCGGCATTGTCATGAGCGAGCTATAGTGGAGTAGATCAGTGATGAAGGATCAGATATACTGAAAATAGTGATAACGAATGTTCTACATTCATTCCAGGACAAAATCCGGGGTAATAATGAAATATATGTACATGGAGCGCATTTGGGAATTCTTCTTCTCATACCAGTAGTCATCCTTGGTATCTGGACCCACATGTTTAGCCTCTGTAAGTACATTTCTTGCTAGTTTCGGTAATTTTTGACAATTGTTTAATTTTGTTTTGAGTTTTTGTTGTATAATGTTGTATAATATCTTGCATATATTCCTGCAGTGGGTCGAACAGTCATTTGTGTGATCTACACAATATTGTTCTTGAAACTGTGGTCGTACGCGCAAGTGAACCACTGGTGCCGCTCAGAGAGGTCCTGGAGGAAGAAACTGGCGAGGCGCAGGAGCTTCTCCTTCAGAAAAGCACAAGACGGTAAGTATGAAGTAATTGTCTCCACGGTAGATATGAACGTGCAGACATGGCACACAAGTGGTACACTTTTCTTAAATTGTGTGGTAGGAGGGTGCTGCATTTTATTAATAAATACAACACTGTAATGTCGCTCTTGACACGTGGGACGTAATGCAATTTACATCAGTCTACCCGCGAGTCTTTTAATTTCACATTCAACTTCTCATAAAAAAAAATAAATATGGTATATCTAGTTTTTTCGGTACATTTTTCAGGAGTCGCGCGAAACAGCGGTCAGGAAAATGTTTGCTGTAAATTAAAGTAAGCATTAACTAGCACTCACGAAGCTAATAAGCAAGACCTACATGAACATAAAGTTGAAGTAGGTGACCAGTATACTTAGAGTAAATAATTACATGCTTAAAGGCACAAGCAAACTATAAAAGTAAACTAGTAAGTTAACAGTAACGAACCATGAAGTAAAGAAGCTATAAAGTAGACTATAAAGTAAAATAAATGGGTACGTGTATGTGTGTACCGGGGGGAGGGGGTCCGGCACGTTGACTCCCCCCCCCCCCATGAACAAGGCGGGGAAGGAGGCCCCCCGCCCCATATCTCGGTCTAATGCCCTAATTGCTCACATCCCCCACTCTTCCTCCATGCTCTGGAACATCTCGTATTGCTGGTTTGATTGCTAATTGTGTGATTCGTAGCTTCAAAGTCCGTATTTAGTGACCTGGACAAGGACAGAAATGTGACGGGTTGTCAACGGACCCCCCCCCCCCCACTTTACCGTTGCTGTTTAAACATTGCATTACGGTTTCTGGGTAAGGGAGATTTCATGGATAAATTACTCTAGAGATGGGAATGTGGGGGGGGGGGAAGGGGCAAAAGCATAATTTTTTTTTTTTTTTTTTTTTTTTTTTTTTTTACTGCTGGGGCGGCTAGTTTGTGCACCCCATACTCCTCCTGTGAGCGGTAGCACAAAACGATTACACAAGGCACAAGAGGTGGTGATCAGACCTCGACGGAGGTGATGACATTAACAGTCCAATGAGAGAGGGAATTTACATTTTGTTGACCTTGACGTCCCTTAGTAAGTATTCTTGTATATCTATAAACTGTTGTCCTACATTGTAATTTGTTGAGCGTGTGAATTACATTGAAAGTTTGAAAGTGGTTTGAATTAATATCTTCCAGTTTCGGTATTTCCGTTGTCTCGAGATTAGCTCTTGTCATGTTTACATTTAGATTGTAGTATTAATTTTTGGCAGTTTTACTTTCCCCAAGATGGAACCCTACAACAGTTAACGAGCTCGCAGATGCTTATTTACTAATATAGGTTAAGAGGTATCAAAAGTAAAGACTCGTCCGGCGCCAGTTTTTGGTAGTGAATTACGGCTATCGAAAACCGTAGATTTGTTTGATGTTTTGTTTTTATCAAACTATATTTTGTTAAACAGAACAGTTCTAACAATGATTTCGATAAAAAAAATAGGAAGATGACTTTTGCAGAGGCTTCATTTGTTTTGTCGCCACCAGTAGTGGTCAATTTTTGCACCTCCTTACACGCCATGAGAGCGGTAGCACTGAAGGATTTCAGAAGGCACTATCATGTTTTAGATTTGGCTACTCAGAACTAAAATTTTAATGTAGCACGGGCTATGGTGAGCCCGTAAGGGCACTATAGAGGTTCACCAGCAAGGCCTTAACTATCTTAAGAAGAGGGGAGGCTGAGAGAATACAAAGCTGGCTCAGAAAGTTGTAAAAAATATGGGTCTCTCTAAGTTGTCCAGAATTAGACAGGGTGGCGGCATCATGTTAAAAGTACCTAAAAAGTATAAAATTGTAGTTGCCATGGATTTAGCAGCCCGTTCTCTCGAGCGTTCCCAACATGAAGAAACTGTCATACTAAAGTGCCCTTTCCTAACCAATCGGGACCCACGGACAGAAAACGGGTTATGCGACTTGCTATAAAGAGAACGGGTTGTTTACCCACCTTCAACGTCGTGAACTCTACCTCACCTTCCCTCTCCTTCAGTGTATTCGATTAGGCCATGATGGAAAATAGGAGCGACGTGTATTCATTTATGTAAGTCAATTTTTTGTGTAGCTTGATCAGTGTTCTTTTGTGTTCCTAAACTTGCTCTTCTGTATTAAGCATCCTCGTGGTGGTAGTTTCCAAAGTTTGTAAATGCTGATGTTTTGAAGGCATTAAAAAGGGTAACACAATTTTTCTTGTCTAAAAGTCGTGTGCAGTTGTTATTATACAAGTTTAAACCCCAAATCCTTTTTGACGGATCTAGTTTTATGGCGGTTGCAAAACCCCGATTATGTTGCATATATTGTGAGGGTTATTCTTTGGAAGTAAAGTATTTAAAATGGAGCTAGTTTTGTCTGATCATTACTGTAGTCAATAGCCTCGGGTTTCTTTTGTGGTATGCATTTATATATTATATCATTTGCTAACGTTTTCTCAATGAAGTTAAGCAAGTAATTTGATTCACACCATTCTTTCTCAAGTTGAGAAATGTTCCGTAGGTTATGGCTGAACGACGATGATTTGGTAATTTAATTTTCTCAATTGTCACGTGATCTTTGTCACCATTTCCTTCATGGAACACTACTGAAATCAGGTTGGGTAGTTTAGCACTCAGGCCAGTTGAGGGGCATTACAAAGGCAATGGTCAATCTACCTGGAAATTTGAGTTTCTATCTTTGCAAGCGTCCTCTTCCCCAGCATAGGCCCCCCTCCCCCCACCCACCAGCGGCCTCGGTCGCACACATACCTCCCCCCCCCCCCTCCAACCAGCTTTGCCTGTCGCCTCGATGTAATCAATGGATAAAAGCCTCGCAAAACACAATTTAAAGAGGAATTATCTACCAGCACCCAACCCACAAAATGTACACGCGCATCGTGTGTGTGTGTAATTACCTAAGTGTAGTTACAGGATGAGAGCTACGCTCGTGGTGTCCCGTCTTCCAAGCACTCTGTCATATAACACTTTGAAACTACTGACGGTCTTGGCCTCCACCACCACCTCACCTAACTTGTTCCAACCGTCTACCACTCTGTTTGCGAAAGTGAATTTTCTTATTTCTTCGGCATCTGTGTTTAGCTAGTTTAAATCTATGACCTCTTGTTCTTAAAGTTCCAGGTCTCTGGAAATCTTCCTTATCGATTTTATCAATTCCTGTTACTATTTTGTATGTAGTGATCATATTACCTCTTTTTCTTGTCTTCTAGTTTTGACATATTTAATGCCTCTAACCTCTCCTCGTAGCTTTTGCCCTTCAGTTCTGGGAGCCACTTAGTAGCGTGTCTTTGCACCTTTTCCCAGTTTGTTGATGTGCTTCTTAAGATATGGGCACCACACAACCGCTGCATATTCCTAGCTTTGGCCTAACAAAAGTCGTGAACAATTTCTTTAGTATATCGCCATCCATGTATTTAAAAGCAATTCTGAAGTTAGAAAGCTTCAGAAAGTGTGTGTAATTGCCCAAATGTAATTAAAAGAAGAGCTACGCTCGTGGCGTCTCGTCTTCAAAGTACACTGTCATATAACGCTTTGAAATTACTGACGGTTTTGGCCTCCACCACCACCTCACCTAACTTGTGCCACTCGTCTACCACCGTTTACAAAAGTGATTTTTCGTATATTTCTCCGGCAGCTTTGTTTCGTTAGTTTAAATCTACAACCTCTTGTTCTTGGTGTGTGTGTGTGGTGTGAGAGAATGCTACTCATTATTCATATATGCCACCCATGCGTGTTGAAGTACATAAACTTTAAACACACTTGCAGCTCTGATAATAGTTCAAATTTAGCTTAGCTTCCAGACAGTGTTAAAGGTTGACAGTCCGCATATTTTCGTAACTCACCGTTCCACTTTTCTTACTTGCTGGCTCACCTGCACCTCTCCATTACTCAACCCCCCCCCCAAATCATGGCGGGGCTGCCTCAAAACCATTGCCCGTCGAGCCGCGGCGGACAACTTCCTCCTCCCCCAGACCTGGCCCGTCGTCCACTTCTCCATTGTCACACCCTTTCAGTCGTACCATCACAACTTTTACATTTACTTGTGTGGTACGGTGGTCAGCGTAGCCAAAGGTCCCGGATTAGATTCCCTAGGCAGTACATTGAGGCCATTGGCGGGAAACGCTGGCGGTGGTACCGGCTCCGTCACAGCTGCTGAAATTTCGTGTTTAATTTCGTCTCCACTCAACGTTGCATGGCCTAACTGCTGCCTAGCACGAGTTAAGTGCATGGAGACTTAATATGACATAACTCACAGTGAACCTCAACAGAAATCAACCAAAATTAACCAATTTTCGCCTGCCTTTCTACGACCCTTCTGCCAAGTGTTCCCAATACGCTAGTCATCCCTACTATAATTCACCAAGCATCTACCATTAGAAACGCTACCAAGAATCTATTCGTCGAAAACATGCCCAAACATAACAACAAGCAAGGTAGGGGTGCCTCCCGCACTGGTTCCATTACTCCTAGAGCTCTGAATGAAACACTGGCAACGCCGCAACCCTCGCCGATGTTTGTAAACACAGCATCTGCTCCCCCTCCTCACTCCCCCCCTTCAACTCACCTCGGATCTCTAGCTTTAGAATTCACTCAATCTATGGCTCCCTGTCTAAACTTCAAACCTCTCCGAAGTAATGGCTCCAGAAACTGCACAACCTTGTGAAAATGCAATCAGAAGCTATTTTGGCCCTCCAAGACACAGTCACCCGACAACAACATACCATAGACCGCCTCCTTGAATCGTCGACGAACAACAACCAAGAAATTCTCAACATACAAACTGTTGCAAATGGTGCAATGGATCAAATACGTAAGATTCAGGCCGAAGAAACCCTCTCAGCTCAGTGACCTCCTTAAAAAGCTGGAAAAACAGATCAATCTCCTTCAGGCTCACCAGGCGGCTTCCGAAGATGACCAAGAGCAACAACAACTTCATGACTCCCTGATAATTAGCTCTACTGATCTACCTGTTGAACAACAAGGTGAGGATTGCTGTAACATAGCCAACACCCTAATTAATTCAAAGATCAGTCTCAATGTTCAAATCAAATCGGCTATTAGGATAGATAAAAACAATCCCCGTAACTGTAGAAGAATGCTCATCAAACTTGCAAATCCCTCTGCGAAGTTTGACCTCATGCAAACAGCTGCTAAGCAAAAAACCAACCTCTATATAAATGAGTGTCTTACTAAGCAGCGTGGATCCCTCCTCTACAGGCTGCGCCAAGTTCGCAAACAAAACCCTGGTCTTATCAAGCAGTGCTACACTAGGAATGGTACGATTTTTGCGAAGAAAGAAGCTACAGGAAAAAGGTATGAAATAAAATGTGACCAACAACTCCTGGCCTTCCTAAGTGATTGTGGTATATCTGAAAACCTGAACCCGACCAATGCCAGTACTTAAATTAACTCTTTCAGTGCCTGAGCCTAACCTAACTTAACCTAACTTAATCTAACTTTGTCTAAGGTGCTGTCTCTGCCTTACCATTTACCTGATGTTCTCCTATTCCTATAATTTCCTAAATAATCCATCAAGTCTCCATGCACTTATGCAAGCATCTACCTCAGTTTCATTGTAAAATTTTACTCTTAAATCTAATCTTACCCTATTCCATTTATATTTTAAATTTATTTGTATTGATCTATGTCATTTTTTTTAAATCAATTATTGATCTCATTTTTGTTCTTTTAATTAAGTTCATACTAATTATAAGTTAAAACTAAGCTTAATAAAATTTATTATCTTTAAGATTATTTTACTTTACAATTATCATTTGTCAAATTTTTTTATATATTCATCTTGACAGTCTCTACTGATTTTTTGTTCTCTCCGCCAAACTTGTATATTGTGTTTTGCTATAATTACTTCCTATTTTACAGCAGATTTGTTTTTCATCTGTTCATGTAATTGTTATCTTATTGTATTGTGACATTCTTTTCTATATTGATATATATTTTCTGTCTATTGTTACTTACATTGTACCTGAGAGTACCTGTAAGCAATCTACCTCATTTTTCATTTTTGCTCAATTTTTTTGGTATTGCTTAGTCTTGTTTATATTTTTGTTTTGTATATCTATATCTTGTGTTTTGTATAGTCCATGTTTATATGTTTTTTTCTTTAATCTCATTCATTACCTAGGTTTCCTAGCCTAGCCATACTCCATTGTACCCCTGTAAGCCCCTTTTGTGTTTGTTTGGTACAGTATTGTGTACATTTATTTCTTTTTGTTTCTCTTGTTTTTCCGGCAATCAGCTTTTTTTTATGCAGTCAAGTATAGACCCAGAACTTAACCTCTTATCCACTATCTATGACAATAATCACTTTAATGATCTAAATTGCAGATATTTTGCAGCACATGATGTAAACAATGTATTAACTCATAGTCACAATATCTCTGTAATCAATTTGAACGTTAGATCCCTAGGCAAACACTTCGATGATGTTAGTGCCTTGATTGAAGCTATTGACAACAATTTCTCTTTTATTATACTTACTGAAACATGGTTGAAAGATGATACTACTCAACTCTTTAACATGCCTAACTACTCAGCAATCCACAACTGTCGTCAACTTCAGAGAGGTGGTGGCACTGCTCTTTACTACCACCAAGAACTAACATGCTTAAAAGAAATTAGAACTAGAGACTGCTATGGGGAGTATATCTTCGCCAGCTTCAGAGTCAAGGGTGCCGAGTCTATCCTGTCTGTGGGTGCAGTTTATAGAATTCCTAACACTGATGTGTCCGAATTCAACTCAAACCTTAGAAATCTAATACTTGATAACAGACTGAACAAAAATCACCTAATTATTGCAGGGGACTTTAATATTGACCTCTGCGAGCCAGAACACCCTACTGCTGTTAGCTTCCTCAACTGTATGAATTCCTGCTTCCTCATACCCTTAATCACTAGACCTACTAGAATCACTGATAGCACTGCCACGACTCTTGATCACATCTGGACAAATATAACCTCTCCGCTTACTTCAGGTATAATCACCGATAGCACTACAGACCATTACCCCACATTTCTCTTAACTAACATTAGCAAACCACCTCTTGAGTCAAGAGAGATACGTTTTAGACTACACAATGAAACTGCTATAGACAATTTTATAACTGCTACTGATAATGTCAACTGGGAGTCCGAGTTAGGTAACATAGAGGACATCAACCTAGCAGTTCAATCTTTTCTTCAAATAACTCTTAGCCTTTATAATACCCACTGTCCTATGCTTACAAAACAAGTCACAACCAAAAGGCTTAACAATCCTTGGCTTACAAAGGGAATACTTAAATCTATTAATAAAAAACATGACCTTGAGAAAAAGTATAGGTTAGGGATTGTCTCCAAAGAATTCTCAAAGAATTACTCATTATTGCTATCTAAGATAATTAGACGAGCCAAAACTAAATACTACGAAGATAAATTTACCCAAATAAAGAGCAACATTAAACAAACATGGGGAACAATTTCACAAATATTGGGATCAAAAAAGTCTTTAAATAGCAAACCGACTCTCCTGTCTAATAACGATGGTCAGCTTTCAGCCTCTGATTCTGCTATTGAGTTCAATAGGTTCTTCTCTTCCATTGGTTCATCCCTTGCTAATGATATTCCATCTTCCAGTACTGACATTAAGGACTATCTTACAGGGAACTATCCCCAGTCTCTGTACCTAAAGCCTATTAATTCCATTGACGTCAATGAGATAATCCTTTCCCTTAAAACCAAGTCTGGTGCCCTTGAGGAGATACCAACTTTAATCTACAAAAAAGCCTCCAGATCTTTAGCCCCTGCTATTGCTTTGCTCTTCAACAAGTCACTTGAACTCCAAACCTTTCCAGATATTCTAAAAAAAGCGAGAGTAACGCCTGTCCACAAATGTGGTGATCTCACAGATGTTAACAACTACAGACCTATATCAATCCTGCCAAACTTGTCAAAAATTTTTGAAAAACTAATCTATAAGCAGCTTTACTCATATCTAGCCAAACTCAATATACTTAGCCCTTGCCAATATGGCTTCAGGCCCAAAAAAAGCACTAACGATGCACTTATTAGTATGCTTAACTTGATTCATACAGCTCTTGATAAAAATGAGTTCCCTGTTGGGTTATTTGTGGACCTGCGTAAAGCTTTCGATACTGTCAACCACCAAAACCTTCTTCTTAAATTACATCATTATGGTGTCAGAGGACACTCCCTACAATACCTCAAATCCTACCTTACTGACAGGCTCCAATGTGTTTCTGTGAATAATACAATTTCGCCCACCCTACCCATCAACATTGGTGTTCCCCAGGGCAGCATACTTGGCCCTCTCCTCTTTCTCATCTACATTAATGACCTTCCAAATGCCTCCCAACACCTCAAACCAATCCTATTTGCTGACGACACAACCTTCATTTACTCCAGTCCTGATCCCCTTGCTCTAAATGCCACAGTAAATACTGAGCTAAATAAAGTCCATCTGTGGCTAACTGCCAACAAACTCACCCTTAACATTGACAAAACTTTCTATATTCTGTTTGGCAATAAATCCTCTAATCAAATAAATCTCAAAATAAACAATACCCAAATTTGTAACAAATTAGATGGCAAATTCCTTGGCATTCTCATTGACCACAAGCTGAATTTCCAGGGACACATTCTAAACATATCAAAAAAAGTTTCAAAAACTGTGGGCATTCTTTCTAAGATCAGATATTATGTACCACGCCCTGCCCTGGTGACTCTCTATTACTCCCTTATCTATCCATATCTCGACTATGGTATTTGTGCTTGGGGCTCTACTACCCAAAATCACTTACGTCCTCTAATTACTCAACACAAAGCTGCTATTAGGACAATATCCAACTCTGGCCCCAGACATCACTCGGTACCCCTACTCAAATCTCTGAATATGTTAGACATTAAGTCACTGCACATTCACTCATGTGTATTATACATATACAAAACGCTAAATTGTAATGCCAATCCTGATCTCAAAAGCTTCATAGAAGGTTGTAACAGAACCCATGAGCACCACACCAGAAATAAATACAGTTTTGATATTCCTAGAGTACGACTTAATCAAACCAGAAATGCTCTACAAATCAAGGGGCCCAGGATGTGGAATGACCTTCCCAACCATGTTAAAGACAGTACCTCTCTCAACCAGTTTAAGTTAAAAACGAAGCTATACCTAATAAATTCCATGTAACCTACCTTACCCTTCTATTGTCAACCCATGTATGTTTTTTTTTTTTTTTTTTTTTGTTTTACAAATCAACGCTGTTTTAATGTAATTTTCTGTAATAATTTATAATTGTATTTGTGCTGTTTTTTCAACAATGTTCCCCCCCTCTTTTACCTCTATTTTTATTTGTACTCAACGCATTTTTTTCTTTTTACCCATTAGTTTTAAGCTTTAGTCAGTAGTGTTTTTTCCTGCCCGAAACGCTTTGCGTAATAGTGGCTTTAGGCATTGTATGTACTAGCTCTATCTATAAAGCCAACAAACTTTGTAAAATCTCTTTATGTACCTTTGCCTAAATAAAAATTATTATTATTATTATTATTATTATTATTATACAGAGACGTTTGTAATTTCAGGTTTGGAAAAGTTTCACATGTCTTCTGTAATTATGGGAAACAATATCCTGCAATCCTTACCTTACTGTAATGTCAATTTTGTAACTAAAAAGAGTATCCTTTTCTTTCAGCTGGTGAAATCAAGGAGGAAGATAGTGATGATGCCACCACTACTCTCAACTTGAAACAGTATCCTGATAATCTCACATTAGGCGATTTATATTATTTCTTAGCTGCACCAACCCTCTGTTATGAACTCAACTTCCCTCGAAGTCAGAGAATTAGAATACGGTGGGTATAAATAACTACAGTACTGTGCTGTACTTCATAAAATACAAAAATCACACCATTTTGGACTTTCAAACTCTCAATTCGGATCCTTGCATATACAACTGATGACTATCACTAGGTCTTTGTGTCCAATTCAGTATTTGCTACTAGTTAAGCATAAGCTTATTGTGCCAACTGTCTACAGCATGTCATAATTTACATTTTCTAGTTTAACTCGAGCAGTCAGTTGTTAGACAATACTTTCATCTAATCAGCCTTGCAGTAGCTAATTCTCTAAGGGCAAGCCTTTTCATTTAGTTCAGATGGCAATGTCCTTTCTGGTTTGTTCCTAATCTGAAAGTGTGATCGATTTTGTGCAACTCCAGTGCTTTTAATTTTAATATCCGATCTTTTAAGTCCTGTAGCACCTTTGACACTTGATAAAATTATAAATGTACAAAAATCACGCTGATTAAATGTCAAATTTGACATTAAATTCGATACAGTAAGAATATATGTTAGCTAATTAAAATGGCTTGTGTTGAATCCTAAAATACACACACGAATCACAATTGTGTGATGTATCAAATGAACAGAACAAAATGTCAATTGATTAAGGCAGCGTTTGGGATGCTCTTGGACGTCGGTTCGAATCCTCGTCACGGCCCTTATGGATTTGTTTATTGAATCCTACAACCTTAAATTAAGGTTGTTTTTATTTTAAAACTAAGTTTTTTCTGCACACATCATTTTAAAATTTAAGTTGTATCTTACCAATAATTTGTACAAGTATTCATTATCCAATTCATCCAATTGTAATTGAATTGGGATAAGCATCTACTTGAAGGGAGAGAAATACAGTATAGGGAAAGATTACTCGGATTCTCATCCATTTGACAGATAATACCAGTAAATGTAAATTTTCCATTTTAATCCAGAAGCGGGTTCATTTTGTTCATGGTAAACTGTTTCTTTGCAGATTCCTGCTGCGGCGAATGCTGGAAGTGATAGTGATCACAAATATTTTGTTAGCGATGTTTCAACAATGGATTATTCCCAGTGTTAAGAACTCTTTCCAAGCTTTTTCTGTAAGTCTGTTTGGTAATACTGTACCTGTAATTACAAGAGCAGTGGTTTCCCTTTCATGACCACCACATTCAACAGTGGTGTGAAATTGTGTTCACAAACTTTTGATTATCCTTAAAGTCACTGCAAATGATAGACAGGATTAAGTTACATGTACAATAATTTGTATAATTGGCTTTTAAGATGAAATAAAAAGCTGCAAATGAGGGCAAAATACTGTCCAGGGAATTTAAAGTTCTAATAGTATGGTTGGAATAGATAAATTGGAGATGCTTATAATGCAAGAATCTCACCAGTATTTGTTTCCATTTGTTAGCTAGTAATTTGATTGAGAAAAAGTAATTTATTTTTTTATTTTAGGACCTAGATTATGTGAGGTGTACTGAACGTCTTTTGAAGTTAGCGGTAAGTTAACTTGCACTGTACTTCGCTTACTATTACTTGTTAAAATGCTGAACAAGATAAATATTTATCACACCAGTTAATCATTAATGTTATGAACTAGATATTTGGATTACATTCAAATGCCAGAAGGTATCCCAATTTCCTACTTGGTATGGAAAGCATAATAAGCATTAAGTATTAATAATGTCAGCTTAAGATCTATGGAATCTTTTTCTCAAATGCAAACCAATGTACAGAATATATAAAGAAAATTTGTAAAAACTAGTTGTACTGTAACTTCAAATTGGCATCGATTTTTGTGTTGTAAATGTTTACCCTGAATCGTATTGACTGGATTAAATATTTTTCCAGATACCTAACCACATCTTGTGGTTGAGCTGGTTTTATCTCTGCTTCCACTCGTTCCTAAACACGCTTGCCGAGCTGCTTTACTTTGCTGATCGTGATTTTTATCAAGATTGGTGGAATGCAAAAGATGTTGGAACATTTTGGAGACTTTGGAATCTCCCGGTACATAAATGGTGTGTAAGGTATGTACCTTGATGGAGCTTAAAGTACTGTATAGGCTGAATACTAAAAGATGACTGATAAAGGACAAAAAAAGTGCAGCTTGGGGAGGGTTGGGGAGGAAAGCAAACAAATCATAATGGTAGTCAGTGCCTCCATCCCCTCCCCATATAGGACACTTGAAAAAGTAAGATTGGATTAAAGAACACAAGAATGAACAGTAGATCTGCATCTGAGGCTGTACCTACAATTCTGGTAGCATAATAAACTATACACAAGACATTTAATATCTGGTACTGTATTAGACATTATACCACGTATAATATACTTGCTCCAAACTCTCATTAGCTTATGTGCAGATAATGAGATGGGTCTGTTCACTTAGGTTACATAGAATTGTCACATTCCTAATTAAAATTCGCAAGTGTACAATTATAATTGATACTTCTTCCCAACCTGCTAGGTGATCAGATGAGGTGAAGGCTGTATTAATATAACCCATTGACAGCAAGTCATCTTACGGGCTATTCATGCCCATGCCACCTCTTGGGTGGCTTAATCTTTATCAATCAGCAAGTCGTCATAAGTCTCTTAAGTGGTTCAGTACAGATGCTTGAGATACCACACCTCTTCAACATTAACAAACAACAATGTAACACTTGACGTGTCTAGTTCCTACCCTCACAAGACGCTTCAACCTCGACAAAGAGCAGACAGCCAGACTCCGGCTGCATCGAGCTTCCGTGCTCTCATCCCGCACACGAGCTCTTTGACTCCGCCCACATTCAGAGCGCCATCTTATCTTGAGATGATTTTGGGGCTTAGCATCACTGTTGTCCGATTCTCAACCAGGCCTCCTTTTTGTTACACACTCCCAGGAAGCGGCCTGTAGCAGTTGTCCAACTCCCAGGTACCTATTTACTGCTGGGTGAAAGAAACTGCCCATTTGTTTCTGCCTCCACAGGGGGATGGAACCTGGAACCTCAGGACTATGAATCCCGAGTGCTATCCACTCTGTCAGGCCCCTGATCTATATGCCAGGCCATGCTCTACACTTTCACCCAGCATCCGAGCTCTCTGCCTGGCTTCATCTCGACTACAACACTACTTCACTACATTGCCAACTTGATGTTTATTTAGGGAAAAGTGCAAAAGTACAAAATGAGTTACAAAAAGAATGCTGGGTTTCTAGATGGAGCAAATATATAATGCCTAAGGATGCTAATGCAGTGTTTCAGGCATAAACTTCCATAAACAGTTTCCATGGCTTGCTGAAAACCTATTGGTATACTGTTCGAGACCATTATTACCTTATTATAGGAAATATTTTTTTTTCTCTAGTGCTGTAATTTTTTAAAGATCATTTAATTAGAGGGGCATGACGATTATATGAAAGTGCCGAGTCTGAACGAATATATGGCATTTGGAAAGGATTTGAGGACAATTAAGGTGCTGGGAAAGGACTGAGGGAAGCTCAAATTTATGTAATGTGTACTCTATAGTGTATTCTTACTTTCTGGGTCTTGGTTACAATTTAAAGAGCTCTATAATACACCTTATTATAATATTTTATTATGAAGCAAACCATTAAAATCCATTGTGAATTTACATTTGGTGAAATTCACACTTGGAGCCATTGTAATTTAAATATTTAAAATATTTATTTTTGCACAAAACCCCCCCTCTAAATACTATATAGACTGTAAAAACAAGTGGACCCGCTGCCAATGGAATAAATTTAATAACAAATTTCAGGCATGTGTTTGTTCCAATGATGAAAAACAAGTACAGTAAGACTTCTGCATCATTTGCTGTATTCATCTTATCAGCTGCTCTTCATGAATACTTGGTGTCCATTCCACTTCACATGTACAAAATAGGGGTGTTTCTCGGTATGATGGTTCAGGTAAGATTTTTGCTTCCATAATATTTTTCACAATTCTAACCACTTTTCATAGCTAGCTTTGTTTCTCTGTACAAAATTGCAATCATCCAATGAATAGGCAACTTGTAATTGCAGTGTTAGAGGCATTAAGGCCAGATAATAGGATTTTGAACAATTTGATAATTAACATTCACATTCAAATTAATGCTTTTACAGTGAACATTAACATTAATGGTTTTACAGTGAAAAATTATGGTGTTGTATTTAACTGCACTTTTTTTTTTCCTACATTGCTAGTTGGTTCCATTTAAATATCAAACCGCAACATTGAAACATTAATATTAATTTAATCGACTAGAAACCTCCATAAAATGTATTTCAAATATGCTCCAATAACTTGATACTTCTCCATTCAGGTACCGCTGGTATACATTTCCACTATAGTAGAGTCAAAACTTGGTCCACGTTGGGGCAACATGATTGTTTGGGCCTCGCTCATCCTCGGTCAGCCACTAGGAATAATGGTTTATTACCATGATTACATGGTCAAAACTCTTGATCCAAATATGTTAGGCTTGTGAGAGTACTTTTATATAAAATATTTTTAATATTTTTATGGGCCTTTTGTAATTTGGTGCATAACATTTAAGAATTTTATCATGACATATACTTTATATTTTGAAGTTTATATTTGCTTGTATCAATGCAACATTTAAATTTTCAATAGGTATACTTTAAGTAATTTTGCCTTATTTGTTTTGGTATTTTCTTGCACCATTTGTTGTAATTCTTGTGGCTGTCTTCATATGAATAAATATATTTTATGTATGGATACAGTATACCTCATTTAGGATTAAGAGTAGTTAAAAAGTATTCCTGTGGACAGTTTGGAATGTGTTTGTAACATTTGAATTAATTTATTCTTGAAATAAATTAATAGCCAAATTTTGAATATTGCACTTTACAAACTATATAAAACTGAATACCTTGCTATCCTTTTGATTTCGGTGTTTTATAGATTTTTTATTACTAACCAATTAGTCTGGAAATCTTGATTAACCGTAGTCACAGATGAAGCTCCCCTTCCATCCAAATATCCAGGTTCACTTCTTTATCTTTTATTATTTTGATGAATGGGCCTGGTATGTGAAAATGTTGACATGCTTTTACCGGAACACGATGAGGTATACATGAAATTTTATATGCAAAGTCAGTTGGTGGAATATTTGCCAGAAAGCATAGAAAACAGGAATGAGATTTGCTATTTTTTTAAGCTTCCTGACCGTCACTCACGGTCACTTGTCCCTCGATAGAATTCTTAGTGAATCGGATACTTTAGATATTGTTCGCCTTATGCTTTTCTGTTCTCTTATTGACATCCTTGGTGATAGTCTATTTAGTGCCTTATGATTATCCTGGACATTTGATGGTGCTACATAGCCTTCCTGGCTTGGTGCCTTCTTTTGATAATTAAGGAATTTGGTTAACTTAAGCATTCATATAAGTGAGACAGAGCAACAATGGGAATACATAAATTGACATGGAGGAAATGGTCAGTGATGAACAATGCGACACTTGCATCCACAGCCATTGGAGCAAGGTTATACAGTAGTATTATTATACTTTAATGAACTTTAATTCTGATTTCATTACAGTACTTTGTTTTTTTAAAGGCCATTATAGCACTTCAAAAGTCAGACTAGTAAAAATCCCTTAATACCTATACAAAAACTATAGTGCTCATAAAACTTGAGAGCTTTGCCTTGTCTGGCGAGAGGACTCGTGTTCACCTCCCAGAGGCCAGTGGGGGTTACCTCGGTCTCCTCTCTTGCCCCTTTCTACACTGGTGCAAAGGGGTCTTTTTTCCAGTGTAGGGAAATGCATGATGCAGTAAGACTACCCTGATAAAATGGAGGTAGGCACCACTTGCTGCACTGGCTAGTACTCGACCTCCCTTGGTGCCCTGGTAGGTGGTATTCCTTGGCTCTCTGGGCCCAAACTTACGAAAAGTGATGTATGGCAAATGAACAAGCTCCTCAATACACAGGCTTGTAGCAGAGCCGGATGGTGAGGGAAGATCGGGCTCTATAACATCTGCATTGAGCCCAGACCACGCTTCACCTTTGACTACCCCAACTAACCCTCTCCATTCCCCTCCCATTTATCAGGGTTGAGCCCCAAGCCCCCAGTGGTTTGGCTCCAGAGGGCACCTCATCACCTGGAGTGGCTTGGGCTTTCATTGTAAAAAGTGTTTTTAAGAGGGGACCATGGCACCATACCTGCACTCAAAACAAATTCCTACTGACACTGTTAAAAAAATTGTTTGGCCCCACTACATGGCCCAAGTACTTTGATCTTTATCACTAGCACACGGGATCTGATTTCACCATCCGTAAACACCTAGGCGACTGTAAAGTAACCAGTGTTACTTTTAACCACACCTAGACTGGCACATGTGCAGTTGCAGCCTGCCTAGCTACTTCAGCATTGGTGAGACACCTGTTCAGGTCCCAGTTAAGTCTGCATTGGCAGTCATTCTTCAACACCATGTTGGGACTAGACTTCCAAAACGTGCCATGTGGATACATCCTCAAAGCCCGAAGTTATTTTATCCTCCAGATATGTTTGTTCGACCCCCTCATGGTCATTGTCGTCGGCTACTTAAAGTAATTAAGATCTTTTGATGGTAGGTCCCTTGTCTTCCATAATTCTTACCGGTGTCAGATGCTCTGTTTAGGAATAAATCTCCTTTCCATAGCTCTGCAACACATTGGAAATTGGACTTTTTCCCTTTTTCACTAGCAAGATGAACCTTTGCTTTTTTGTGTAGAAACCATAAGATTGATTGCTCGTGTAGAAACTGTACTAAAAGTAATATAGTGGCTCCAAATTCTTGGGAGTTCTGTTACAAGCAATTAGCTCCCCATTAATCAATCGTGACAAACATGTGCACCAACCATTAATGACCTCTGTAATAGATTCTGTTGAATTACTATGACGAGGTCATGCAAGCTTTCCTATCGGCTGGTTTAGAGTGGCTGAGACCTGGGAACAGGTAAGGAGAGGACCAATCCAAGGCAATCAAACACTTCAGCAGTTTAATTCCACCAGTGGTTGTGACACAAGTACTAGGTATACTGCAGATCTTCTCCAATGCCATCAAAATTAGTCGGCATACACTGTAGTACTCGCTTGGTCGCCATGCTGTCAAGATATTCCTCGTCATGCTTTGTAGTCAAACTACTATACACTGCACTATATTCGTCCAAACATATTTTATGGCATGTTTATTATCTGTACTGTGTTTGTCGCCAAAACTAACATAATAGAATATTGCTCATCTCCCCAGGCTAATTGCAACGACTATGTCCATCCTGCAATATCATGTGGATGAATGTACAGTACTATAACTCTGAAAGACATCCTTGACTTAAAACAGTGATTGTATATAATTCCCCAAGACAAGATGCCAGGTCCATCTTAGGTCTTTAAGACATGATTTGTGCTCTGTGCATTACATCACCCTTTTCTTCCTTTCCTCAGATCCACAATCATTTCAAAGCTTTAAACACTAGCTCCTAACACACAACTGCAATCTGAAGCAGAGGGTGTTCCCAAGGCAACACCAACTAGCAAATATCCATCCATCCTTCCAGCAGTCTTAATGTTGTCCACTCTCGTTCTCCCTCTATGCCAGAGACTGTCTTGCAGTAGATTGCTACTGGCGCACATGTGTCAGAAACATGAACCTCCCTTTCCAGTGGGTAAGAAAACTTCAGTTCATCCCCAACTTTACACTTCCGGCTGTGTACATGCATCTCTTCTCATATTAGCGAGTTCAGCCAACTCCTCCACTATGGAAATTCCAGTAGCCCTTGATTCTACCTTGGATGGTGTCGGGGGAGAAGGGGTCCATTTTGGGGCCAATCCTTGTCGTATACATCAATGACATGGATGAGAATACAGCATTACAAAACCACATGAAATTTGCACATAACAAAGATTTATGGTAAAGTGGGAAATATTAAATCCTTACAAGGAGATCTACATTAACTCTACAAATAGTCAGACTGGCAAATACTTTTAATATTGACAAATGCAAGACCTTGCATGTGGGGAATAGCAACCCATGCCACAACTACCAAATTAATAACATTGTAATGTTATTGTTATAGAGGTGACAAGCCCCTCTAAACCTGTGACATGCCACTGGTTTCCTGTCCTAGTTGGGCGGCCCTCGGGTAAGTCGTAATGGCAGACCAACAACTCTGCCGGCGGTCTTGGATTGAGGAATTAATAACTGGGTAGAAATCTGAAAAGTTGCCTTTTTTGAGAAATAGGACTAGTGTAAAAAAAGCACCTTAGCAGCAGTGTCCACCTGTTCATTTGAGGAAATGCCAACTAGCTGGGAACCCAGCAAAACTCGACCATCTTAAATCTGCTAGACAAGAAATGGCCACTTTTGAATTTACACTACCACAGGATTCATAGGGTTTAAGGACTCGAGGGCCATGAGGGCACTGCAAGAATCATCCACAATGACAAAGGAATGTTGACGTTGGGAAAGCGGTTGACAAAGTGCATGCAAGATTGCAAAATGTTCTGCCATGTAGATGCTTGTCTCAAGTTGCCTACAGTACACTTTTGGCAGACTTAGACCCATCTGTGAAGAGAGCAATGGAGCAAAAGTCTGAAGAAAAGTGTTAAAGGAAAAGGCATTTTGTAACATTAGGAGGGGGAGAAGCCTTTACATTGTGGGTCTAGTTCTTGCTAAACTTTGCAAGTGGCACCCTCCATGGGGGCAAAAATGGAACACGAGGAGAGAGATTGCCGAGAGGAAACTTGCAAGCGAGACATCTGTATGGAAAAAGTAAGGTGGTGAAAGGAAAAGGCCCACATGAGGGGTTAGGGTCAAAGCTTTGGCATAAGCGAGAGCAAGGATGTTTGCAGGGACTCCACAAGGTAACAGGCAGTAGCGATCACAACTAATGAAATAGTTGGTGCTATTATCCATTAAGGTTTTAATGCAACAGACAGAGCTTTTAGAAATCGGGAAAAGATAAATGTAGTTCCAATATTCAAAGAAGGGGACAGATGGGAAGTACTGAACTATAGACCAGTGTCACTAACATCCACTCCATGAAAAATACTGGAAAAGTTAATCTGTAAAAAAAGTTGAACGCGTAAATCTTGTAACGAAGGAACCACACTACTTCAGGTAAAATTATGCTTAACAAACTTTAATTCTGTGACAGGGCCACCAAAATAAGGTCACAGAAATAAGGATGGGTCAACTGCCTGTAAGCCTTTGACATAGTTTCTCACTAAAAAAGATACACAGGAATGGGAGAGTGAACTGGGTAAGGAATTACTTAATGGACAGGAAACAAAGCATCACAGTTGGGAGGGGGGATATGTTAGAGACAGCCCAGGGAAATCCCACTTTCCACTCCTCTCCAGCCAAAGACAATCTAATTTATGTAACGGATTCACCAGAGTGAGCGAGCGAGCTTGTACGTGTCTCTGGTTATAGGTGATGTGAAGTTAATGAGAGCAAAAACTGAGAACTGTAATGTGTTACAAGAAGACTGATAAACTTAATATTAGGCAACTACAAGAAACTGTGTAAAAAAAAATACTTTAGTACATATAATAAAAACAGTAACACCAGATGCTCAGGTGAACAGGATACTGTTCACTTTTTTTTCCGCGCAGGATACTTTTTTCCGCGCAGGATAAAAAAGATACTGTTAAAACCATGTAGCAAGTTGGGAAATATAAGACCCACCTTTAAAAATCCAAAAAAGGAGGCTGAAGTCCATATTCACAATGCAACCATTAATAGAGAATGCAGTACTAGCATGGAAGCTGCAACCTGCGAAGTATATAATAGGAAACATGAGAAAGTACAAAGTTTTGCAGCTAATTATCCACTCGCCATTAAAATCCACCTGATCTCTGGATAGGACAGTAAACGTGTTTCATGTTTCTACCTTAGTCCGAGGGCCTCGCCCTTAACTCTTCAGCTGTGCTATAATATTCTCAAGACCCCTCTACAAAGGACAATTATTTTATGAGTCTCCTTTGGAAATGATAGGTTACAATGTAAAATACAAAAACAAAAATTATCCCGATGATATCATGGATTCTTTTAAAAATCAGATTGGTTATGAGTAAACATTCTGTAGTCTGGACTGGATTTTTTCTCATGCCTCTGTAACTCCAGTAAAACTTGGAAGGGACATTAGAACAGACACCTGCTGTACTGGTACAGAATGTCAAGCCCTGACTATCATAATCCAAGAGGATTCACTAACCTAGTCTTGGGGAGCATTAAGTGATATCGTGTTTAGACAAGCAATTATGTGTTTAGACAAGTAAAGTGATCTTATTTCTGGAAAGTTAATACAAAATTGGGTGTTTACAAAAAGAAACTGGCAGATGCAGAATTTAAAATAGATGATAAAACAAGGAGGATACACTATTTAGAAATTTGGTGGTCAGTGGAATTTAAATTTACATGTTTGTATTCATTCAACAGCAGCTTTAAAGTTCAGTACTGGACAAGTAACTGATAAGTATCATCAAGAAATATTTGTTTGTAAAATCTGTCCATCAGAGAAAACTATTTTGATCGTATAAATATAAATTAAATGATGAACACACCTTCCATTTATTTATTAACCCTCAGTGTAATTATCATCATATGTTGATTCACTGAGTAATGTGGTTGTTGATTTAAACTATTATTGTTGATAGTTTACACATACTGTATGTTAATATGGATATTAATAGCTCTATGTGAATGCAATGGCGTTTACCTTGACAAATGAAAAAACCCGCTCTCGTTTCATGATTGCCTTCCTATGTGAATGAAGTTATGTCACAAATGAACACACTGCAAATGCAGTGATCGTCATTGTATAAAATTGAATGAAAATTACACGATATATATATATCAATAATGTTGGAATACATATACGTTATCAAGCCCATTCAATTTAAAATCAAGTTTTGTACTCACATCCCTGCAGGCTGACCTCAAATTTGTGTAACGGTAATCTATCATCGAGCAGTTCGCTTCAGGTGGTATAGCTTGAAGAAAAGCATGCTTACAGCTGTTCAACACATTAAAACATCAATGTACTTCCAATTTATGTTAATTGATATATTTCTCAAGCACTATGTAAGATATATCATCAAACGGCTGATCAGATAATTTAAACACAGTTGGAAAATAGGGAGCGGGGAAGCACTTGTTAACCAAGACCTTTTCTAAGAAAATTAAGACAGTTTTAGGGAATGAAATTTCTTCAAAGCAGAGCAAAAATTAGAAACAAAAGGTTAAAGAGCTGCATAGAATGAGAAGAGAAGGAATTGGCATGTGGTATCCATGTATGCAACAATGATCACAAAAAACTGATCCAAGTATGTGGAAAACTACATTGAAAAATTAGAGAATGCTAAACACGTATTCAGCCTTCCTCAGAGCAAGATGAGTGAGAAGGGAAGGTGGTTAGATCAGCCACCCAGGTAGCAAACCTCTCCACCCCCCCCCCATGGGAGACAGGTCTCCTGACTGCCAAACAGTGAGCATAAAGGTTTATCTCATAGGGAAAACAAGAAGATTAAATAAAAGTGAAGTGAGCTATTGATAAATTAAACAATTATTTCTTCCTCTCATTTTTTATCAAAATAGTGGATGAAGTGGATTTGGATTTGAGACCTTGCGGAGTCTCAAATCCAAGCTGGATTGGTTTCAGCATTTCAGGCGCTTGCTGGCTGACAGCCTCAGTAACCAGCGTCAAAGTGTATTGCCAACAGTAACACATACCAATGTTTTTTTTTCAATTGCTTAAATTACCAAAAAAGTTTTTTTTTTACTTTGAAAAAAATTTCCACATAGGCAGGCATGGTCATAAAGTATTTCAATAACTGCATGCCGAGGGGTAATATTTACAAAAGTCATTCAGTACCATTTTGCAAGGCAATGGACATTGGCTTAACTGGCAATGTATTAAAGACCCAGAGCTCAACCCTCACAAGCACAACTAGGTGAGTACATTAAATAATAATCTAAAATGGGATTTTTAATTTTTTACAAAGATTGATTTAGAATGAAACACTTCATATAAGAGATCTATGGAGATGTCATTAAAGACAATCTACAGTAACATTAACACTACACAAATATATATATATTGCTCTATAACAGAAAATTATTGGCAAATTTTGAATTTAAGAACTACAAAATACCCAGTAATTTATCACTGTATTCCTCATCTTCATATTTAAATGCAGTTGACATATGCATACATCTATAGAGCAAACATTTATTATAGACTGTCAATACTTTCACCTTCTAAAGACTTTGCAGAAATACAGTTTTCTGTATTTGTCCTCATGTCATTAGGAAAATAAATTAAATGTACAGCACTTGTACAAAAATATTTCTATACTTCAGTGGTGGAAAGTATATATAAAGGAATATATAATTCATCAAGATCTTTTGAATAATAAGAGAAGTTCTATAATGTGATCAATAATGTGATGGTAAAACAAAATAACTGATTGACAAAAATGAACAAAATAAAATAAAAGAACAGAGGGCAGTTTACTTTTATTTCAGTTATATTAACTGGGGCTAACTTGTCTCTTTGTCATACATGAATCTATCTTTTATCCTTATCTTAATTATAAATTAAGTAAGTGGCTAGCCTTAGCCATATTTATTCATATATACACTAAAATGTTTAACCTTAACATTATGGCTCATAATATTTATACATTAAAGTTTAGAAACATCCCCTTGTTGTGACTTTTGTTGATCTAGAGGCTGTTCATTATCAACCAGGCTGTCCCTATTGTCATCATCACTGTTGTTGTTGGCCTCCAGTTGCTGTCGCCACATATTGCTGTACATTCCATCTAATCCTATAAGCTCATCATGCCTGAAAAAAAATATTTAGAAATAATTGGAATTCTGACAAAGCATTTCAATTAGCAACCTATTATGCCAGTTGAATACTAGTAGTAATTAGATTCTGAAAAATCTCTCTTGTTGGCCTATATGAAGAAATATGAATACAGTACATTGCAAATTTGTAGTTATTATACAATATGATTGTAACACATTCCAAACTGCACCAAATTTAATTATTTTTGCAATACTGTATATAAAACCAGCGTTGAATGTAATGAAATGTCATTTTCTGGATAAGACCTGGAGGCTTCCCGGAGCAATCCAGGCTGATATGTTAACGTCAGACTTTGCCATCAGTCATGTGTATGGAGTTCTTTGGGCCTACTGGGGACCACGGCCAGAACCTTTTGGTGAAAATATTGCTACCAAAAGCCGAACAAGTGGATAGAACTCCCCAAACAAAAATGAGCAAACTGGTATGATGACAAGACCACACACTAGAAGGTGAAGGGACGACGACGTTTCGGTCCGTCCTGGATCATTCTCAAGTCAATTGTGATCAATCGACTTGAGAATGGTCCAGGATGGACCGAAACGTCATTGTCCCTTCACCTTTTAGTGTGTGGTCTGGTCATCATAATTTAGCCCCGTTATTGTGACTCATCGCCTGCAAACTGGTATGACGTCACCCGTTGCTGCGCCGCTATCTGTGCAGCTCCCCCCTCCCCAGGAGGAAGAAGGGGGAGCCCCAGACCTACCGTGCCGGCGATCCACACTGCAGTTCTGAGGCTGCATGTCAAAACACGCGAAAAACCGCCGATCGTAGGGAGGGAGGGATGCTGGGGAGCCTCCGGGTCTCACCCAGAAAATGGCATTTCATTACATTCAATGCTGGTTTTCTGGGGGAAGCCCCTACGGCTCCCCGGAACTAACTACCCACAGAGGAAAAAAGAGGGACTTACCCGGGAGGCGGTTGCTGCTCACTCCTTGAATTCAAGATACTGGCTGCATCCGCCAACCCAAAGCGACACAGGCCCGACTGGCCCCAGGGACGTTAACAAGGCAACGAGCAGCCAAGACGCTATTCGATCACCAAAATCCCCGCGCCCGAATGTCAGCCCAAGACATATTGCCAAAGACGGCGGCAAGAGCCACGAACTTGCGAACGTCATAGGCACAGGGAAACACCGCAGGCTAGCTAGCCTTAATAACCATGCGGATGACCTTGGAGATCCGCACCCGCGAACAGGAAAGAAGGGAAACCAGATCAACCCAAAGCGCATCCAAGGACACAGAAGCTGTGGCGCGCAAATAATGGCGGAGAGCCGCAACCGGACACAAAACATGATGCACCCCCCAGCCTAACCAACCAAGCATCAACAACCCAGGGACCCCTCCGGAAGGCAGCAGTCTCATTCTTCGCCAGAAAAGAAGGAGAAGGCTGCATACGAACAAACCGATCACCCTGACCGAAAGAGCAGAAACCCCTATTCCGGAGGAGAGCATGAAGCTCACCAACCCGACCCACAGAGGCTAATGCCAACAGGAAAAAGAGCCCCCGAAAAACAATCCGGAACCGAAGGGGCCACAACAAACTGAGGAGAAGAAAGAAAAGAGAGCGTTCTGTCCAAAGACTAGGACGGCTCAGGCGGCGCATGAGCAGGCCGGAGGGGAAACAACGCTTGAGACAGCTTGCGAAACCGCAGATGTAACATCAATACCGAAAGCAAGCTGAAACGGCTCTGCCAGTGCCGCACGATATGAGGTACCAGTGTTATTCACAAGGAGACGGTCCAGGAACAGCCAAGAGAGAAAGGACAACACCATCCTAACCGAAAGCGAAGTACAATGATGAAGACATAAGAAGAACCGGAAGGACCACCAGGAAACTTCATACTGCCGCTGAGATGAAGCCCACAGGTGGGACACTAATAAAGAATCCACCTGATCACCATAGAGATGATGATAAACTCGAGTCAAAAATACCATACACAAAAACTCAGAGAGAATATCAAACCAGCCACGTGACGTTCCAGTTCGATCTGCTGGAAGAGGCAAAGCCGCAGGAAAACCTCCGGCTTCAGACACCGAGCAAGCAGCACCTGAAACCACGGCTGGGCCGGCCACCATGGGGCCAAGAGGACAACTCTCCCCTGGTAAGTCTTCAAGCGAGTCAGGGCACGGAGCAACAGCAGAACCGGGTGGAAAGAGGTAAAGGAACCCCCACCTCGACCAGTCCTGCCGGAAGGCATCGACCCCAACGGCCTCGCAGTCGGGGAAGGGCGCCACATACTGGGGAAGGAGCCACGACCAAGCCGATGCGAAGAGGTCCACTTCGGCACGTCCAAACGTCTGGCAAAGCCAACAGAAGGATTTTTTTTTTTTTTTTTTTTTTTGCAGGGATATTCCTGCGCGGGCCCTAAGCCTCTGGCTGGCCCACTAAGTGTTGCTTGTTTCTGTTTTACTTGGGCGGAGTATGAGTATTTATGACTCGTATGGTCGCTTCAGTAAGATTTTTGCCATATGTGTTTAACAACTTCTTCTGCTCTGTTGAATCTAAGTTGAAATTTTAATGGGTTTGTAACTGTGCACTGTGTTAGATAATGTTCCAGTGGTCTGTCGGAGTCGGCGTCGACCGTCCATTCCGTGGAGAGGGGAACGAAATGAGACAGGCCGTCAGCCAAGACGTTGGACACTTCCCGCACATGAACTGCCAGGAGAGCCAAACCCCAACAACTCAGTAGATGAGTCACCCGAAGCGACCAGCGCCAAAAAGCCAAGGACCGCATTGAATCCCCCCTGTTCAGACAATGAACCACTGGGAAGCAGTCCAAATGGAGCCGGATGGGCAACCCGAAGCCTCCGAAGAGCAAACCACACCGCCGCGAATTCCCACACAGTGCTGTGGGCTCAACGGAAAAACGGACCCCACTGTCCCCAGCCGGCTTGGTGAGCACTGGTCACAAAGCCCCAGCCAAGAGACGACGTGCCTGTGAACACATCGAGCGAGGGCTCGGGTAGGTGCCAAGGCACTGAACCCCGAAAAACATGAAGAGGAAGCCGGCGACGCAGCAACCGACACAAGGCCCCTGGGGTCTGAACCTAGCGATCGCGAGAGAGGCGGAAGTGACGTCCCCGAAAGGAACCAGAACAGCCGACGAAGCCAAATTCAACCCGGTGGGTAAACCAGCATCGCGAAGTTCAGGCTCCCGCACAGACCCTCGCCGGGTGACCCGGGAGCCCCCCAGAAACAGGCGCATGCGGGACCGCAGCTGAAGGAGACTCCGGAGGAAAAGATAAGGAAGCGGTCCGAGAGTCCCACACAAGGCCCAGCCATGTCCGAACTTGGAAGGAGAACCAGGTGGGATTTCCTCCAGGTCACCAAGAACCAAAACCCGGCGAGCTGAGAAAGAACCAAATCCCTGGCCAACTGACAAGAGGATCGGCTGGGAGCCCAAACCAGCCAGTCGTCAAGGTAGGCCAGAACTCGAACACCTAACAAACGCAAGCGGGACAGCACGACCCGAGTAAGGCGTGTGAAAACGCGAGGCACCAGATTCAATCCGAAGGGAAGACAACGAAAGCTGTAACCTTGACGCCCCACAACAAAACCGAGCCAGTCCCTGAACCCTGGATGAATCGGGACATGCCAATAAGCGTCCCGGAGATCCAGGGACACCATCCAAGCGCCCAGGGACACCATCCAAGCGCCCAGCTCCAACAGGAGCCAAATCTGGGACAGCATAGTCATCCGAAAGGGGGGGGGCAATGAACTCAGGGGTTTAGACGGGACAAGTTAAGAATGAACCGCAGGTCTGCGCAGTCCCGTTTCGGGACCAGAAACAGATGGGAAACCCATCTGAGGGACGTCGTCGCTTCGACCACGTCCCAAGCAAACCCACTCCAAGACGAGCTGACAGAGCGCAGGGGAAGCGGCCTGCCCCGCAAGCCCCGAACCCCCTGAAGGAAGAAGGGCTACCCAATACCAACGGGTTACGTCATACAAGTTTGCTCGTTTTTGTTTGGGGAGTTCTATCCACTTGTTAGGCTTTTGGTAGCAATATTTTCACCAGAATAGGGTTTTGTTTTAGGATGTTTATCTTTCTGGGTGCCTGTCCCGGTCGATGGCAGACATAGAATGCTTTCAACCACACGGAGGCTTCTATAGGCCATTGCTCCCCTTGCCTCTCTGAGGGGGCCAGGTTCTGTTCGTGGTCCCCGGTAGGCCCAAAGAACTCCATACACATAACTGATGCCAAAGTCTGACATTAGCATATCAGCCTGGATAGCTCCGGGGAGACATAGGAGCTCCCCCCAGAAAAACTCATATAAATGAAATTAGTGCAAAACTTCAATTAGTATAACTTACAAGAGAGACTATCTGGAGCAGTCCCTGGCATTAGGGAAAGTGTATTGAAAGTCTGGCCAAGTTATACTTATTACTACTTATGATATTACTAAAAACCTTCCCTAACCTTGATTGTCAAAATGTTTACCAAAATGGCCATTAGGGGACTACATGGCTCAATAACAGGGACATTCCTTGCACCACCTTATGTAAACCTTGAAATTAAAAAAATACATGAAAATATCTTCAGATGCTAAATGATCACCAATGATTTGGACAAAAGTAAAGTTCCAGCAAAGCTTTGAGAAATCCCTATCATGAATACTTAAGTACTGTATCAATATTATTCACTCAACCCATCCTCCTAAAACGATAGTACTTATAGCAACTCTTGGTCAAATGTACCAATATGTACTGTTCACCCAAAAAAGTTCACATTTTGTACTACTGTATTACTTTTATAGCTTATAAAAAACTAAAACCAAATTTAAACATTCCTAGGCCTAGCATAGCATATATATGTACTATATTAGATCTAATAGCATGTATTAGGCCAAGGATTGCTTAGACAGGTTAGGTTCTTTAGTTATATTCCAATTTCATAGAATGCCATTTGAGCTAATTCAGTAATACAAATTGTTAATTTTGGGGGGTCCTATTGTACATATTGGTACACTTAACCAAATAGTTGTTATAAGTACTATCCATTTATGAGGATGGGTTGTATTAATTGCATATTGAAAGTAGTATACACCAATATTTATGAACTACTGGTACCAATAACTGTACCCCTTGTTGTCTCTAATGACATCTCCATAGATCTCTTATATGAAGTGTTTCATTCTAAATCATTAACAGCAAGGAACTTAGCATAATATTATTTATATCTTAGTAGTACAGTACTTAGTATTCTTTTCCTACCAATTATCTTTGGATACATTCAGACTGCAGCACGACTTGGCCACTGCTGTCCTACCCTTTGAATTTATACAATTTCCCCTTTCCTTGTACTGATGTTAATTTTATTTGGACCAAATTCTTTTCTTCAAATTTTTCACTTGCCCAATTAGCTAAGACATTATATTTTGTTCTATACCTTTTTTCAGCATGTTCTTTTAGTAAAATGTTAAAACAATTTAGATTCAAATAAGTTTGTTAATAATTTCTGTTAAAATTTCCACAATACTTTATGCAACTGAATTCAATAATTCCCATTTTCCCTACCCTGAATAGCATACAATTACTACAGAACAGTATATTTACACCTTGACGTTCTCACTGCACTGTTATTGTAAGCATTTAGACATTTCAAAACAAAGACGAACATTAATAATATACTGACCTTCCCCTTTCTATAATCATTCCATCTTTGAGTACGAGAATTGTGTCAGCATGAATAATGGTAGACAGACGGTGAGCCACCACCACCACAGTACGGTCTGTACACACCCTCTGGAGTGCACTCTAAAGTGAAAAATTTTTAAATTAATAATATTCAGATCAGGAAAAGTTTTAAAATTGTATTGTAAACTAAAGGTATGAAAACTTTATAAATTTGAGAAATATGTAAATTGTAAAGCTACATCTTGGTCAAATTCATTCTTTCCTTCATTTAATGAATGCATGGCAACATTCACTGTACTCTTACTCAAATGAACAGATTTGTACCATGCCTTTGCATTACAATCAGAATACTGTACTGTAATTTCTAAAACTTTCTATTGAATACCAAAAGTTATACTTTTATTATTATAAATGATAGTGCCTGCTTTTGCACACAGGTTTTGATATCGGAATCACTTGAAAATGTATGCTTTTAAATATTTTGTTACTTTTGTGTTTTATTTTTCAGCAACAAAATCCAGTACAGTGAATGGATGGACTTATGGAAGATTTCAGTTCCTTTTCAATGCAAAAAGATATAACAATCACACTTTTAGTATAGATTCATTACATTACGTCTGACTTTCCATTGCACCAATTTCCACTAAAGGAATTATGCAATGTACCATGAAATTTGAAATAGATTAAGAAAAATGATTGTATTTAGTTAGACTACAAGAAATGCAACATGTGCTGCTTCCTTTTACAATCAACTCTTAGTTTTATGTGAGGAAATTTAACTTAGACCACTTCCACAGGAGGTAAAATTTGATAATATTAATGGCATCATGTAGACAATGTTCAATATAATACATGTATACAAGGCACAACTGCCTTAAATATTATACAAATTTGTTTATAAAAAAACTGAATACAAAATCAAAACATATATCAGTAATGCAATATGTATCTTCCAAAATATTTCTACTCTTGTACTGATAATGCATTGTGTCATTAGTTTTCAATTTGTAAACTTTTGTGCATGTTGTATATGACTTCTCGGCCAATTTCTTCTAGGGCTGGAAGTCCATCCAGATGGTTATTTTTGTAATAACTTATTCAGTGGCTTGGCACAGTTCTGTTCCATAAGGTTCTTGGTTCCAGTCCTGTTCTGTTTTATCCATAGTCCTGCTATGCTATTGGTCTGTAGAAGTGGGTTTTTTCCAGGTTCCTGGAATTTTATGTCTTCTTTCTTCCTGGTTTCACCCACTTTCAATATTTTATTAAACTGTAATTACAACTTAAACAAGTGCATAAGGCATTTGCTCAGCTCACCTTGAGATTATTATGAGTTATTCTGATTAACAATACCAAGAGGAATAATTTATGTGGCACTTTTCAAATTTTAACTATATCCTTTGTTAACAATATGTATACTGTAGTATAATTATTCATTGTACATGAACACCTACATAGACAATAAAGGGGACACATTATAATACACTAAGACCACTGCAAATTATTACTGTAAGTACTTTGTCTTCTAAGCAGAATTCACTGACAAGACCAAATATGAGAATGACAAATATAAGAATTATATGCAGTATAAACAATATTTTCAAAACTTCCTCAAGAGATTCTTTGCTTCAAATTAGGCATCAAGTTTACATATAAAGATCCTGTCATCTCTTTGGCAGTTAAATATTTCAAAACATATTAGGAATTAGCTTAATATAGGAAGAGATAATAAAGTAATAGAAAAAGTAACTGGTAAATAACTTTTTATCTTTTAATCACTAATGTAATTCACTAATATACCTGAATGTTTCTTTCAGTCTGAGTGTCCAGAGCGCTGGTAGCTTCATCCAGCAAGATGAAGCTTGGATTCTTCAGCAAAGTACGAGCAATTGCAACACGCTGCTTCTCTCCTCCACTCAGTTTCAGACCTCTCTCACCCACCTGTAATATTGTTTTGTTAATGACATACTATTTTAATAACAAATACCTGGCTAAATACAGTTCACTGTCCAAAACCTAGACCTCCATATAATGAATCATTTTCAACAATGGAATGTATGTGTCCACTGAATCTCTCTTTCAATTTGGATTTATTGAAGAAAAAAATACAAATTCATGATGTTGCAATTTAATGTTACAGATATTTAAGTACAATACAGTAATTATCAGCAGACTGTATTTTTCAATTTTTTGCTATTCTGTACTGATAATGGTTATGAGGGGGTGTATCTCCTTAATTATTAACTGAAAAAGATACCCAAGGTATTTCATAGAAAATTTTGACCCAAGGAAAATGTTTTGGGTGTGTGAAAGTCAATGGGCTCATTTAGTTCATTAGACCTGTAATGGCAGGTCATCTGGTTCATTTAGAACCAGGTGACCTGTTTCTTGATAATTCATATCAAAATGATTCATATCATTATGCTGGTTATCTTCATGTCCCTCGAGTACTTTTCTTGCATTCACTAACCTTTGTATCATACTGATCAGGGAAAGTGATGATCTTGTCATGAATGTCTGCATTACTGGCTGCATCTTTAACTTCGCTCTCACTTGCTGTTACTCTTCCATAGTGTATGTTATAGCTGAGAACAAATAACTACCTTATTGTAAATGTAATTATATTTTTTAGCATATTAAAAAAAGAAATCCATTCTGTATCACAAAATATCAAGAAGAAAGTCCTACCATAACCAAACTAGCTTCAGTATTTAGCCCCATGTCTAATTACCCTATGAGTAAAAGTAAGGAGAACTGGGAGTAAAAATACTGCTGATGGTTATTTAACCCTTTAGTGCTAAGGTTAATACGCATCTCTGTATTAGAAATAATGTTTCAGTGCAGAGACAACAATACACTTCCATTCCCTTATTTCTTGCTGACATTTCTCCTGACATATTCTTATATTTTATCTCATTTATTTTATTAATATACATCTTTCTTTCTCCACAAAACAACTGTATACTTACAAAATAGTATCATTAAAAAGTACAGTATCCTGAGGAACAACTCCTATGGCTTGTCGCAGAGACACTTGTGTGTAATCCTTAATATTTACATCATCGACCAAGATACTGCCTTCAGGGACATCATAAAAACGAAACAGCAGACGCATAATTGTACTCTTGCCACTGCCAGTGGGGCCAACCTGAAGTTTTATGCAATAATTTATTAATTAAACTCTACATAGAGGAATAATTAAACTTTTCACGTTACAGAAAAATTAGACTTTGATTAAATATAAAAATTACTTTCTAAGCAGGACCCTTAAATGCAATCAAAGGCAAGAATCAACTTATGCCAAAAGGAAGAGATCATGACAGCTATGGTAGAGACAAATTCTGCATCAGCACAAAAAAGGATCTTCCCAAATATTCATGTCAGGTCACTGAATTAAGCACATGTTGTTCCTACTGATCTGGAGGCTCAATGCTTAATATATTTGTACTGGGGGTTCAATTTATTGGGTGATGCAGGTTTGAGGCAGCCTCCACTCTTTCTAATGAGGAAGCATTAGCCATTCTGGTTCTCTCAGCTTGCAAGTTCCTCATTCTAGACTATGGGCATTACTCATTCCTCTACTTCTGAGTGCCCCTGTTTACAGGGAGATAAATTTAACTCTGAAGCTCCACTTAATTAATACAGTACCTGATGCATTTATACCTCCAGACATTCCAATACTGTCATACTTGCTCTTGAAGCTGTGAGTGGTAGCTGCTTCCACCACCTCTGACTCAAGCTCATTTCACTTGTTTACCACTGCATATTAGTAATGTCTTATATTTTGCCGGCTTTGTGTTTCCAATTTCCACCTTAGCATCCTAACTGTATTGTCCTTCTCCGGGGAAAAATATTTTCTCTATCCACTTTGTCTATTTCCCTCAGTGCTACTTTTCCACCCATATCTCTTATTCTTTTCTGATTATCTGATAGCTCCTTGGAAAGACTACATCCTTCAATGATTTCTGTAATTGTAATGATGTGCAGCAGCATCTCCTGTACCCTCACCTTAAGTTCCTTTTACTTATTTGTAACTAACAACAGAAGGAGTCGGCGGTAACCGTCCATTCCGTGGAGAGGGGAACGAAACAAGACAGGCCGTCGGCCAAGACGTAGGACACGCCCCGCACATGAACTGCCAGGAGAGCCAAACTCCGAGAACTCAGCAAACGAGTCACCTGAAGTGACCAGCCGCAAAGAGCCAAGAACCGCATCGAACCCCCGCGGTTCAGACAATGAACCACCGAGGAGCAGTCCGAATGGAGCAGAATTATTGCTCCTCGCGCAACACGAACCCTCTGAAGCGAATGTCACACCACCGCGAACTCCTGCACCGTGCTGTGAGCCCGACGAAAGGACAGACCCCCACCGACTCTGGCCAGCCTGGTGAGCACTGGTCACAAAACTCCAGCTGAGAGACGAGGCATCCGTGAACACATCGAGCAAGGGCTCGGGGAGTCATCAGGGCATAGAACGCCAAAAAATAACCTCAGAGGAAGCCGGCGGTGCAGCAATCGACGCAAGGCTCCTGGGATCCGAACACAGCGATCACGAGAGAGGCGGAAGGGGTGCCCCTGAAGAACCAGAACATCCGCCGAAGTCAGATCCGATTCGACGGGTACACTAACACGGCCAAGATCAGACTCCTGCACCGCCGCTCAAACAACCGTGTGACCCGGGTGCCCTCCAAAAACAGTCATAAGCAGGACCGCAGCCACAACAATGCTGCCAGAGGGAGAGAGAAGGAAGCGGTCCAAGAGTCCCACACAAGACCCAGCCCAGTTCGAACCTGAGTGGGAACCAATTGGGACTTCCAGTACACCAAGAACACGAACCCGGCGAGCTGGTAAGGAACCAAATACATGACGAGCAAACACGCGGATTGGCCGGGAGCCCAAACCAGTCAATTGTCGAGGTAAGCCAGAATCAACCACGCACCACAACCTGGTAAAGGCGTGTGGACACGCGAGGTGCCAAATCCAACTGGAATGAAGGCAAAGAAAACGGTGTCACTCCATGATAAAACCGAGCCAGTCCCCTGAACACCGGATGAATCGGGACATGCTAATATTTGTCCTGGAGGTCCAGACACACCATCCAGGGGCCAAAAGCAGCCAGACCCGAGACAGAGTGGTCATCTGAAAGGAGGAGTAAAAGACCCGTGGGATAATACAGGACAAGTCCAGTATGAATCGCAGATCTGCCCAGTCCCAGTTCGGAACTGAAGACAGGCAGGAAACCCACTCCAGGATAACCTGACAGAGCGCAGAGAAGGAGGCTCACCCTGCAAGCCCCAATTCCCCCAAAGAAAAAGGAAAGAAGTAACGCCACTGCAGGCCAGAGGAAAAGGACCCGAATTGTCCACAAATCATGGGACCAGGCGAGAACAAACAGCACAAGCCTCCCCCCCATCGCCACACCAACAGAGCGAACTGTGAAAGGGCCGACAACCCCTACGAGAGCCCGACTGAAAATTAGAGCGATCAATGAGCCAACGACTCCACAGGAGGGCCAGTTCTGGATCTGGCACTACTGGCATACGACGACCGAAGGAACCCTGAGATTTGACACGACCCTTCTGGGCAGGACCTCCACGACCCCCCTCGAGAACTTACAAGTATGACATAGGCCGTCAACTAGACGAAGCCGCCTGCAGAAAATACACCACCACAGACTCTACAAACAGCAACAGACAAAAGGGATGAAAAATGAAGAGCCAGGGCCCAAAACAATTCCAAAAATTAGGATGAGCACCACCTGTCAGCACGCGAGACGAGAAGCGAAGAACAGACACCGCCTCCCTCAGAAACGGTGTGTACAACTTCAACAAGGCAGCCGGCGCCTGAGCTGCCAAAGCAAGCACACCGGACACTGGCCTGGAACCCAGCTCCTCCACACCCACCACGAGCCAGTCCGAAGACAGCACTCGCAAGGAAAAGAAGCGCAAGACCGAAGCCAAGTGCCCACGAGCGCCCAAATTCTCGGCCACCAGGGATGCAGAAAAGGAGAGAACCTGCATGTGAAGCCGCACCTGGCTGACATCATAAAGAAGGACGGGGGCCGAACAACCACGCATTGAACTGCTCCAACTCGCCCCCCAGGAAACCTGAACGACTGTAGTCATCTCTTGCCATTCAAGTGAGCAGTTCGACAGGATGAATGCCAAGCCCCCAACGAAAGAAAAAGCAGTCTGCCAGCCAGGAAGACTCCAGCACCTTGCAACGCACCCATTAAGGAAAAAGAGGAGCCAAACTCAAAAGAAGCAGGCTTCATTATCAAGGAGTAATCCGGGTCTCACAGGAGGTAAGCCACAAAGGCCTCCCACACCTTCCTCAGTGGGATGCGGGAAGTCAAAAACCTCCAGAAGGAGGGAACCGAAGAACCCAAGGGAACTTGGAACCGAACCCAGGGAGGAGTCGAACTCGTAACAAACTCGTACAGGGAGGGGATAGGAAAACCCCTCCCCCTGTAAAACAAGCCCCATGCCGAGGGTACCAAACACCCAAGCAGGGACAAGTGGGGCCAAGGCCCCCCTAAGACAACTCCCCAGCCCCAGAATCCTCCACATCAGGACCCGAGGCCAAAACGTCCTCCAAATCCTCTGCCTCTTGAGAAAGCAGAGTCCACCAGAAAAGCAGGAATGAAGGGGGGCCCGCTGGCGTGGCCCAAAAGCTCCGGCAGGAGGATCAGGCTCGAATGCCTCCGCTGCCGATCCGGAAGGGGCAATCCCCGACGCTGCCCAAGTCTCACTACCAGTATAATTCAGCGGGGCAGCTGCGGGGCATCCAGAAAGGCAACCAACCTCGCATGTTGCTGCAACTTAAACCTCGCATGTTGCTGCAACTTAAACCTCGCAGGCAATGCTAAAGCTGCCTGCACCTGAATATCAGTCTCAGTGGACTGGGTGAATGGAGTACAAGCAAAGAACACCACTCGCAGGACTCCAGGTCATAGGTGTCACTATCCCTGACAGGCAGCAAGGCAGAGGCAGACAGTGAGTGTCACCCTGAGACAAGGGGAACAGAGCAACCTTCAAACTTGCACAAGGTGAGGTGGGACTCAGAGGCCTCCTACATTGGACCACTGAGCCCCAAAGGGGGTTTCCAGGGCCCTTAGGCTGACTGCTAAGGGAAGCCCAGGCGAGGTACTGCTAACTGATTATTCCAGAGCTACCAATCAAACAACTAAAAGCTGAACCCCTGCGATGTGTGCAAGCACGGGGACCTAGTGGAGGGCCACCAAAATCATACAAGTGATCCTACCGCCACACCAGGCAGATCCCTGCCAGGCAAAACAAAAGAAAAACCCCGCAAAAGCACAACATCTCCAGGTGAACAGAACCGGTCGCTATGCGTATATCAGACAGCTGCACAGTACCTCATGCCCCGGCCAGCGGCAAAACAACCTCCTACTTAAGGGCAAACAAGAGTAAGAACTTCCCCAGCTGAATCCCTAAGGGTGGGCAATCACCGAGCAGCGACAGAACCACACGGAGGTAGCTGCTCCTGAACGGCTCATGGAAGATAACCCTGAGGCCGCAAAGGCAGTACTTACCAGGCACCTAGGGAAGGTAGCCCTAGGTGCATGCAGCCCCAGTACTCTTGTGTTACTTCCAGATCACATGCCACCAAAACAAAGCAACAACACCGCACTGCAGCACTGTGCAAAGAGTGGAGCCAGAGCAATCAACCGTCACCAACACAACAGCCTCTTGAACTGAGGAGAGTTACCGGCGTGGGGGTTTGGGACCCCCCCCCCCATTATCATCCTGGGGAGGGGAGGGTTGTGCAGACGGATGTGCGGCAGTTGTGGTGACATTATGTTTGTTTCCTTGTTTTAATTGGGGAGTTCTCTTTGCTAGTTCGGCTTTCAGTTCGCAATTTTTGACCAGCAGTAGTTTGTTTTGAGATTCCTACCTTTTTGGGTGCCTGACCTGGAAGATGGCAGACAAAGACTGCTTCCAATTACACGTGGGTGTCTTCAGGCCATTGCTCCTCATGCCTCTCTTGAGGGGGCCAGGTTCTAGCTCTGGTCCCCGGTAGACTTAGAACTCCTTCGATTGACTTTTGCCATAGTCTAATATACACACATCAGCCCGGTATAGCTCTGGGGAGCCGAAGGGGCTCTCTACAGAAAAAATATATGCACTCAAAATAACCATAAGTGACAAGATGACCAAGCCTTGTAACAATAAAATAATAACTAAAACTACTAGCCTTTTTATCTATATTAGAAAAATAGTTTTTGAAGCTCAAGGTGTATACACAATATTGACTGAAATGAAATAACAGAACTTACCACAGCTACAGTCTTTCCTGGTTCTACAACAAAGGACACATTCTTTAGGATTGGTCTCTCAGGAGAATAGTGGAATGACACATTTTTAAATTCAATTCGTCCTTGAGGCACCATCAATTCCTGGGCATTCCTCTGGGAAAGATAATCTGAAGTTAGAAAACTGCTTATAATCTTGGCCTCACTTTCATTAACAGTATAATTTGCTTACTATTTTATTCTTGCTTACATTTCTAATTTGCATAAATATGAATGAACAATAAACTTTGATAATTTTTCAATAATATGCACATATTTTAATTTGTGTCAAGAAGTATTTAATAGAGTACTGTACAGTACTTAATATATAAATTTATTAAACAAAATTTAGTTAAACTACATAAGGTGTTGACAATGATGTAAGGAAACATCAAGTCCAGAAAAGACTATTGAAGGTGATATTTTATATGAAGTGATGTACTGTATTTGATAAAGTCATTACAAGTGAAATGTCATCTACAACAAAGATTCCCAACTTTGTGTTTACCTACAGTGCTGTATGAGCTCGCTAATCAGAAGCCCACTGATCCGAATATTTGAATTATCTGGCAAAAATCGCAGTTGGATACAAATGTGTTTCTCATTAAAGAACTGAAGCCAGTTGCATGGCCTTCCCCGGCCAGCTCCCTCCCCCCCCCCCTCCACCATAAGGGTGGAGGTGGAGCTAACTAGCAAGGGGCTAGTTTCACTAAGTTTTGGTTGTTTTGTTTCTTCTTGGGGTAGTTCTTCTGACATTTTGGGGGTTTCAGTCTCGTCTTTATACCAGGCAGTGGTTTGTTATTATTCGCCTGTCTTTCTGGGTGCCTTTCCTGGTGATAGCAAAGATGATAACCTTAAATGTAAAGTGATCAGAGGCTGTCACTCCCTTCGCATCTATGAGGGGGGGGGGGCAGGTTCTGGCCCCCTGAAGCTATCAGCACTTAATTAGTGCTTTTGGGAGTCATTGGGCCTCCCCACAGAAATTACAATTTAAAAAGATGGATATATATAACAATATATATAATGGAAAGTACTGTAGTCAAAATTAAAGCACTGAGTGTAGACAAAATACTGCCTTCTGAGTAGAGTACTCAGTTGTTTCTTAAGACAGTATCCCACTCTCCCTGTGCATTGGCAACTTAAGCCTGGACCATTTCAGCCATATGTCTGTGGCTTCTGTGCAGGTATTTATAAACTAATCTGTGGATTTATCTGTATTTATATTTTTTATACCATAATTGCTGTTTCTTTAACCATTTTTTCTTGTATTTGTCTTTGCTCTTTATATCAATGCTATCAATGGGCCTCTAATCATTAATGTTATCATTGTATTTGTCAATGCTCTCAACATTGTCATTTTGGTTCTCAAGTCAATTGTTGCACTCAAGGTACTGGATCCTGCAGTTTTATTTGTGAAAGAATTTATTTTATCTCATTTTATATTCAGCCCATAGAGGAAAAAAATTTATGAAAAGGCCAGTAAATGTCCTTCATGCATATCTCAGCAATTTGATATGGATTTTCCACATTGATTCTTACCAGGGAAGACTTGAATAGTAAATGAAAAGAACTTTCTGTTGATTTCTGAGGCAGGATGTAGAGGCAGATCGGGATGGGAATTCAAGAGGCACGTGTGGTGCTGCCACCTGGCAGTGGCTGGCAGTTAGCAGGAGCCTTCTCTTGACTGCCACTTATGATGCCAAGAAAAGATTAAAAAAGACTTTGATTTTTTATAAATGTACTGTTACTGGCCATTCTTCCCTAGATTGAGTGTGTTCCAATGACTCCTTAACACCAATATGACCCTGCAGGAACAGCTTGAAAAGTTCCCTGTGGTGCCAGTGCCAGTATGTTGTTTTACCTGACTGTGCACGATGCTGTCATTATAGTGGATATCATTAATGTGTCATATTATCTTAGAGGAGTGTTTCTCAACCAGAATTCTGCAGAACCCCAAGGTAACAAGAGACAGTGATAAATTGGTTAATTCTAATCATATGCAAATGTATTTGAGTCATTTTTTGTATAATTTTTCCCTTTAACCAGTTTCAAGAGCAAAGACAGAAATTGTCTCCTTTCAGTTGACAATAAAATCCTTGTGTGTTTATCTAAAGTACAACCCAGAATTATTTCAAGGGTACAATAGGTTGAGAAACACTGCACTTAGGAGGTTGAAATACACTTTTCACATAAAGCCAAGCCAGATATTTTGTTTTACATATTTAGTAAAATACTAATATATTTATATCTGCCCGAAACGCTGCGCGTGCTAGTGGCTTTACAAGACTGTAATTACCATATTTGTATCCTCACATTCCTTATGTACATTCTTGTATATGCATAAATAAATAAATAAATAAATTTACATGTTAATTTAGTCTTCACATTGTATCATTATGTTAAATATAATGTAATTAAATAGTTTAATAAATTTCATTATTTTCTATAAAAATTTGAATTTTATAGTTTCATAATGTGAAAATATTTTTTGTCACATCAATAAAATTCAAGGTAGATTAAGTTTTAAAATGTTAAAAGTTGGGAGGGTAATTGACAATTCTGATATATCCGGTAGGCAAGAAAGCATTATACAACAATATTATAATTATTTCACTTGAAATATAAAAGTTCAACTTGAAAACTGTACTAGCATCAAGAGAATGTGAAGCAGTAAAAGAAGGACACCTTTTACTTGAAACATTAACATACTTTACTAAGACCAACCTTATCAACTACTTCTGCTTTCTCATTCAGTAGATCAAACATGTTTTCCATATCAATAAAGTTCTGTTGAATCATACGGTAGTATGTACCAAACCAGTTAAGTGGAGTATACAGCTGCATGATGTATGTTGAAAAGAGAACATAGTCACCAACTGTGAGGCCTTTATTAGTAGCAACCATCCATGCTGCAAGCATGGACCCAGCTAACAACCCTCCATTAATTACAAAGTTTTGCATTGTGTTAAGCAGGCACAGAGATCCATTAGATTTCCATTCCTCAACCTGTAAAATTAATAAGAATTTCAGAGGAGACTCCCATATCTTAAATATGTTCTAAAATAACATCTCCACTTGATATTTTAGCAACCATGTACTATATTTTGAAAATTCATTTGAAGTAAAACTCTAGTATGGTGTAGCTAGCATGGTGGATATGAACCATATTAATAAGTTACCATACATAGAGGATGCAATAAAGTTGATAATACTCTATCTTTGTGCACTGACAACATGTAGAATTGATCAGAAAACTTTTTAAGAACTAATGTAAATTATTTTTAGTTTTATAAGTTTAGAAATGATGATAGGATGACTGAAATGTTGCAGAAAATTGCACAAGTGACCAGTTAATTAAGGGAAAAGCCCAATACAAATCATTAATTAATCAAACGCTTAAAACACAATTACGTAATGCAATAGCATCTTACCTGATAGTTTAAAATAGATTGTTGGTATCTGTTGACCTCATAATTTTCAGCACCATAGTACTTGACAGTCTCATAATTAAGTAGAGAATCTACACCTCTTGATCGCTGTTCATTGTCTGCAAGGTTCATCTGACGACGGTATTTAGTCCTCCATTCTGTTAGTGCTATTGTGATAGCTAAAAATGGAATGTAGTTAAGTGTTAAAAATTATTATTAGTTTTGGATAAAGATAAGGGAAAATATGAGTATGGTAAATTACAAAGCTCTTTAGATTAAAAAATAATTAAAATAACAAAAATAAGGCATTGAGTGCAGATAAAAGCTACTTTCTGAGTAAGCCACTCAGTCACCCCTTCAGGCAGTGTGTTATGTGATTCTCAGTGTGATCATGATTCTCAACACAGTAGAGGCCTTTTCAAACTGTCCCTGTTGTGTCATTGATAAGAATGGTCCATAAAAGAGATAACAAAAATGCTCCAAAAATGAGCCGACCAATAAGAAGTAACACTATTGGGCTTGAGATGCCAATCAACAAAAACCCATGACAAAAAAGACATCACCAGAACAGACATGGGAGACAAGCAACAAAGAGACAGAAAAAGACAAAACGAATGCCAGGCAGCCTCATACTGCTGCTGAGAGAAAAGTTGCAAATGTCAAACTAAAAGACCTGAATTTATATGAGGGCCACTATCTCTCTAGCGGCCTCAACGAGAACAGAAGGCCGGTGGCTTGTCAAAAATCCCCCATTTGTCCTGATGATTTTATCCAGCTGGATTTTGAAATCCACTCATTTATGGCTTTGGTCAGTAGGCAGGTATATGGGTTTATAACCCTATGGATAAATAAAAATCTGTTTTTTGTCATACATTGTGGCTTGTTGAGCGTGAAACTGTTGCTCATTGTTCACATTACATCTAACCTTTAGAAAAAGGGATCTGGATTAATATCCTCCAAATTGTTCGGTATTTTAAAAGTTTCGTTGAGATCAGCCCTCTCATGTCTGGATTGCAGTGTTGTTAACCCTGGGGCCCTCAGCTGTTCCTGGTATAAGAGTCAATTAAGTTCTGGAATGATTTTTGTCACCTGGCATTGAAACTTTCTCCAAAACAGGTATGTCTTTCTGAAGATGAGGTTTATATACAGTAGTTGAATAACTACCTTCTTTTCCTTGAAGTCATAGTTAGTTTGAATATTCCTAGGATTTGGTTAGTTTTTTCACTCCAGCTCCCACTTGTGCAACTTTCAGCAATTGGTGGATTCTGACTCCAAGGTCCTTTACTTCATCAATCTGCTGCAAGGAAAGTTGTTAATTTGGTAGTTGTGATGTGCATTGTTATGCCCCACATGCAAGGTCTTGCATTTTTAAATTAAAAAGCATTTGTTAGTCTTCCAACCACTTGTGGAGTTGATGTAGATCTCTTTGTAAGGCCTCAATAGCATTGTCACTTCCTATTTTAGTACTCCACTCACCACATTTCTCCAGTCAGATTAATTTTCATTTATGACAACCCTTTGCTATCTATGTTTTAAGCATTGTTTTATCCATTTTAGTAGTCTACCATTTATTCCATGTGCTTGTACTTTCCATGCCAGTCTTTCATGCAGTACCTAAGAACCATACAGATCGCAGATACAAGAATCAAAGTCCAGATGAAAACATCTCTGGAGGAGAGTACCTGGAGGAGGTTTCACGAGTTCTTTTACTCCCTGAGCCATGAAAAAATGAAGCTGGAAACCATGGTTGAGCTGGCCATCAAGGATTCAGAACCCAAGGTTGAACTGGCCACCAAGGAATCACTCTGCCAGAAAATGTCTCCAGTCTGGAAAGTAAGAGGAGGAGAAGCCGGACCAAAGGGAAGAGACACAGGAACTTCCACTGACACCATCCAACCAAAATCCATTCACAGTGAGCGCTTAGCAATTCAAGTACAGGGGGGCCATGTAAACTGTATGCCATCAATTCCATGGTGACAAAGATATCCACCTGAGTGAAGCTGAATGTCATGCAAAACCAACAAAAGGATGGATCTTTGACCAATCATGGTGTGAAAATGGTACAGAAGCAAGAGACCACAAGCACAATGACACAATGCATATATGAACTGCCCAGAGTCCAACTCCACAAGGGAAGGGCCTGAACCAATTCTCTATGAAACCAGTAATTAACCACTGGAGAGCAAATTGGAATGGAATTAGATCACATAGCACAGAGGAAAACAAGCGAGCCATAGAGAATGACACCATGGCTAACTCACAAACCATATAGTGTGCCAATGAAGAGGACTCAACCAATGCCCTTGAGACACCTGATGAAAGCTGAACCCAAACCCCAGTCCAGGTCTGAGGTGTCTGTTAACAGACACCTCAGACAGTGAAGGAGGAGGGAGGTCTCACAGCACCAAACCCCAAAAGCACAAAAAAAATGGTGAGTAAGAAGCTGCATAGGGGCAATCGGAGTCTGCACCAGAAACTGGTACAATGCCCAAAACCAAACCCTGCTAATGGAATAAACTTTGCAGGCAAAGTTCAGGCTCTCACAGAACCGCCTGAAAAACTGCCAAGAAATTTGGGCACTCCCCACTGCCAAATGGACATGAGAAGCTAAGTAGTGCAGAGCCATCAGTGGCAGAGACGGGCACCAACTGGGAGTTCCAAACGAGACCCAGCTGTGTCTAAACCTGTGATGGAACCAACTGGGATTTCTGCCACTTGATCAGGAATCCAAAACCTGGTCAGATAGGAAAGAAACACAAATCCCTGACTTGCAGACACATGATCTGGCTGGGAGCCCAAATCAACTAATCACCGAGGTAAGTCAATACACAGACCCCATCAACTGAAGATGCGACACTACAGCCCATATCACTCTGGCAAGTCTAGGCAGCCAGGTTCAAAACAATAGGAAAACCTCGAAAGCAGCAACAGATTAAAAAGCTAGCCAGTCCCTGAACCTGGGATGAATAGGGATATGACAATAAATGTCCTGCAGGTTCAGGGACACCATCCAAGAACCCCCTTGCAATGCCAAACAGACCTGATTGAAAGTGATCAAGCAGAAGGTTGGACAGGAAATGCAGCAATTTAGACCAGACAGTCAAGAATAAACACAAAACTTGAAGAGATACAAAAACAAGGCCCTGCAGGACAAGAATTTCAAAGAATAGTCTCCACTTATCTGAAAATTTAGAAGTGGTGACATGAAGAAGCTATGATGAACACAATACAATGCACATGACTGAGTAGTGTTATTGACTGGACCCTCCCCTTCCCCCCCCCCTGGCTGCCAGGGCTGCCATCTGATGTTGGGATAGTGTAACTAACTAGCAGTGATAATGCACTAATGACTGTGTGACTAGTTAACAGTTTCTCTATGCAGTTGCTTGTTTTGAAGTGAACTATCTTACTGGAGGTTTTTCCTTTTGGCCTGGGCTGATCTTCTATCACCAAACCTCTTATTAAGTGGACTAGATTCCACTACTGGTGGAATTCTGGTCTGAATTCAGACAAGATTCTGGTCTGCAGTAGGTTTTTATGACTCACAAGGGCCTGGTGAGGCATGATAGTTTGAAAGCTAACCAGGTGGCCAGCTTCAGGAAGCCATCAAGGAAAGCTCTCCTAGAAAATCCCTGTTGTGCCAGTCAGGCTGATCCATGGAATTAGCAGAACCTTGTCAAAGTGAGCACGTGAGTGGTGTAGCTTAGAAATGTGCAAACCTAACTTAATTGTATAACAATCAACCTGTTTGTTGTTACAGTATATACTGTATATCCTTAACCCATAGACAAGAGCCTACATCAATTAATATGAGGGATGTTTCAAGGTCAAAACATATGAGAATTAAGTTTTACAATGATAATATTTATGATTAACCTTAAATCTTATAAGAGGAAACAACTTTAATTGATGAGGAAACATTATAAAAATTTTAGGATTGAAAAAGACAAAATCAGAATTTAACACAAAATTATATATGTCCAAGGAAATATTTGAAATATTTTGTAAATATATTTTTCCATACATGTATTCCATATTTTAAACTTCTGTTTAAAAATAAGAAAAACAAAAATGTTGTTTTTCAGATTTTCATTAATTAAATATAAGACTGGCAGCTGCTTGGAGCAATTGTGTTCTTTAACCCCTGCACTGCACACCTGTTTTTGGCAAAAACTTTATAGTGCAATTGTTAAGGACATGTTTTTGTTGTTTTTATAAATGTTCAAGTAAAGTTAATGTCAAAATGTTTCCAAACTTAACCATTTTCCTTTTAAAACACAGAGTGATGAAAACATTAAAAACATTAAAATATAGCCTAATTAAAAAAAATAGCACAATTCTCAGAGCGCCTTAAGGTGCTTTGCGTAGTACAGTGGTTAAGAGTTAAGAACATGACAATGGTGTTGTGTACACATACCTAGGTATGTAGCCATAGTCATGAAGACAATGATCCCAAACCAATAGTTGAAAGCTGCTGTGAAGTAGACAACAGCAACAATAATATCGACCACCGTTGGCAATATGCTGAAAAGATTTACTAAGTCACTAAGGCAAGAAGGTATGTTACATTGTATTGGGCTTAAAAACAGATTTGAACAAGATAATTATGTATAAATGTTTTTTATATCAACATAGATTTCCCTGTAATCTTTATATGCTGAACAATTTCCTAAATCATAACAAAATATTTCTGAACTGAACATAAGTGTACTGGTATTCCCCACTTCCCCCCCCCCCCTCTACTCTTTCCAAAACATGTTGTTATTGCCTTTTCTTTACACTCTGTAACCATTAAGACCATCAAATATTCACTCCACCTACTGGTAACACAGTGCATATCTACTCCCACATCCTTCACTCTATCTACTACTACTGTTAATTACTATCATTAACCTTCCTGTAATATAATTATTTTCTTAGAATATCAACCTTTTCTCTAATTTCTCATTCCTTACCTTTTCAAATCAATAATCATTCTCCTTACAATTGTTTTACAATTATTATATTACTTTCTATTTCTCTCTTATCACTTGGCACCACTTTCTGAAGCAATATTTTCCATGCATTATTTTTATTTTCCCAGACTACCCACACATAATAGAAAATCACAGAAACTAAATTAACAAAAGTCATAATAAATGCAATTTCTACAGGAATACTGTGTGGTAAAGAGAGGGAAGAAAGAGGTGGATGAGGAGTGGCTCTGCTAATAAGAAAAGACTGGAGTTTTAAAGAGATGGTTACCCCGGTCTATGAAAGGTTCAGTAATTATATAACAGGCACCATGACAATTGGAGGACAAAACATAATAGTAGTACTAATGTATAATGGCCCCATCAAATGATAAAAGACCCAGCTACCCCTTTTTTACATTCCATAGCTTTCAATCATTCGCCTTTACCACTTAACCCATCTACCACTTTCATTTCAACTATTCTCCCATTACAATTATAAAATATATTTTTTATTCTTCTCTTGCTCTTCTCCCCTGATGCCATTAACAATAAATACAACACTGTCAAATCTTCATCCATTTCCTCATAGTCACCTTGCCCTGTATTTGCCTGTTACCACACTTCTCAAGACAAAGGTTCTGCCTGGTAGCAATTAAAGTGCAGCTGTATCCCAGGAGAGACTGGAGTCAGGTTGTCTTGCATACTGACAAACCAACACAATTCTCGAGAGTCTGATTATCAATGTATATTAAAATAAGGTAAATGTATAAAAGGACAAATATTTTCAGAACCACTGGCAGTGGCCAATTGTGAGAAAAGAAATTGCCAAAATAAAAGGACTTGGAAGACCAATCATCAAATTTATGACATTCTACATTCTACATTTGGGAGCCGGTGGCTGAGCAGACAGAACACTGGATGCGTGATCCTGTGGTCCCAGGTTCGATCCCGGGCGCGGGCGAGAAACAATGGGCAGAGTTTCTTTCACCCGGATGCCCCTGTTACCTAGCAGTAAATAGGTACCTGGGAGTTAGTCAGCTGTCACGGGCTGCTTCCTGGGGATGGAGGCCTGGTCGAGGACCGGTCCGCGGGGACACTAAGCCCCGAAATCATCTCAAGATACATTCTCAAACTTACTTAAATACAATATAAGACAGAAGTGTGTTAATAGAATTGGTGCCACGGTCCATCACACGCAGAACTTCCCCAGTTTTCCGTCCTAAATGCCATCTCAGTGACAGATTATGCAAGTGGGTGAAGAGTTGAACCTGTTGATAAACATGAATTTTGCTACAGAATACAGTATCCATAAAATCTGTGTTCAAAGTATAAATTCATGAGATAAAGACAAAATAAAAAAAAATATATATATAAAAAAATTAACAAAGTAAGTGATGACTTGCCTGAACCTCTCTACTAGTGTATTGCTGCACGGATATCCATAAGAGTGTACGGAGGTTGTTTAGGAATCCCATTCCTCCTGTACCACCTCCTTGCACAAACTTCAGGGCAACATATACGAGAACATACTCCCAACAGAAAAATGGAGTTCCACCACTGCCACCCAAGCCATCAACTAAAAGAGCAGAAAAAATCTATTGTAGATACAGTATGTTATAATTTCTCATGAAAGAAAATTACCATACAGTAAATAACTAATTACCGAAAATGATCCTACTTAAACATTTTCAAAATACTGTAATGTTTAAATATAAACTACAATAAGAGTATAACTTACCAATCAGTTTATAATATATCGGAACAAATACATTTGCCACTCTCCCAGCAAGCAAAAGTACGAAGCAGGTGATAACTGCCAACTGCAACAATGCATTCTTCTTCGGCCACATAAAGGGAAACAAAATTTTCAGCTTTTTCCATGTGTTGCGCCATGTTGACCCTTGACTGCCCCCCAGGCTCCGTGACTGATCCTGTGGGAGTTAGGATGAAGTTACTCTCTATACAGGTAAACAACACTTATGAATTAAGCTTGAAAAACATATCCTTTATAAAATTGAAAGACATAAGACTATAACAGATATTAAAGATACAGTATTACAGAATAGTAATACTGAACCTAAATCAACCTAAATAAAAAAAATTGACAAATTTGAAAATGGAGACAGTTTAACACACAAGAGATTTTTGTATAACATCTTTTACACGGTCAATGTCATTGTCAACTTTTTGTTATGCAAGACTTTCATTCTCTATTACACAAACTAAATTAAATAAAAAAAATAGTTATTAATTATGAATGCAGACTGAATAAATATGAGACTGCATCTCAAAGCAGAGTGCACAACACAAAATTAAGACTAAAGGTCAAGATTTATTCTTTCCACATAACCTCTAGCCCTCACATAAGCAGCAATTCTTTCACTCATCAATATCTAAGGTAGAGTTGATTTAAAGCCAAAAAATATAATAATGCAGAAAACAACAACAGTAGCATAAAATGATAATTAAAACAGCCATCATCAGCACACCAAACCTTGCCTACATATGCTACTACACACAAATTAACTGATAAAATTTGAATTTCAATTGGGTCACTCCACTGCAGATCTTGCTAAACCCATACTATATAACATAATTTCTTGTTGACCTAAAATTTCCAAAATTTGTCAACAAACTTTGGCAATGAGCTCTTTGATAAAATTTATAAAGCCTTCTCACTATTTTCACCATTGCAGATTCGCTACTCCTACTTTTCATAATCTCACTTCTCTTGCCTTTGGATACTCTTGCATTTGGATATACTGTACTCACTACTCTTGCCTTTGAATGGGCTCACTACTATCACCTTTTGATAGCCTCGCTACTCTTACGTTTGGATAGACATACTACTCTTGCCTGTGGATACTTGCTACTCTCACTTTTATATAGACTCAGTTCTCTCATCTCTCAAGTCTCTGCTAACTGTAAGTATTACTGCCTGTTCATTGTTGTATCTCAACTCACAACCAGTTGGCAGAATTCTACATGTCAACAGTCAGAGGAAGGAGAAAACCTCACATATAATGTGATGAAAGTCCAAATTACACTGGGAAAGTTGAAGCAAAATAGAAGAGAATGGGAGCAACTGAGTGACCAGCTTGGAAAGATTTTCATCATGCATACTGCACTCAAAGCCCTATTTCTAATCTAGGCCATAGATTAATAGCCTCCAAATTGTTCAGTATTTTAAATGTATGGATATCTGAAGATGAGGTCTCCATACTTGGATACAATAATCCAAGAGAACAGGGCAGCCATTCCCGATCTTCTCAGAAGGGTCGTGCCAGGGTTCGGGGTTCCGCTGGTCGAGGTGGGCCATTGGTGCCAGCTTCTAAGCTGACGTTACCTTCAGAACCGATGTTGCCTTCAGGACCAAGCGCGAACAGAGTGAGCCTCCTTTCCCCCACTGCCCCGTCAACGGGGCAAACCGCAAAAGGGCCGACACCCCTTACAAGAAGCCTGCCGCCGAGCTGAGCGATCATCGCGCCGACCAGATGACGCCAGCTCCGAAGGCAACGTCAGCTCAGAAACTGGCACCAATGGCCCACCTTGACCAGCGGGACCCAGAGTCCTGGCATGACCCTCCTAAGAAGACCGAGAATGGCCGCCTGATTCTCTTGGATTATTGTATCCAAGTATGGAGTCCTCATCTTTAGAAATCCATACATTTAAAATACTGAACAATTTGGTGGCTATTGCTCTAGACAACTTCTTCACAAGGTCAGATGTAACACAAACAAGGAGGAACAGTTTCAAGCTCATCAAGCCACAATGTAGTACTGACAACAGGCAATGCATTTCCACCCATAAGGTTATAAACCAATGGAACCACTGATCAGCCAAAATTGTAAATGCCAAAACTCTGAACTTTACAATTCAGCTTGAAAAAATCATTAGGAGAAATTGGGGACCTTTGACAAGCCACCACTTTCTGTTCTCATCGAGGCCACTGGGGTTTTAGTGGCCCTTAGGTAAATTCAGTTAAATAAGTTAATCCCACATGGCCCATATGTAATCTAGCCAGAGATGTAACCCACTTACCATTATGGTAGCAGGAGTAAGGCCACAGGAAATTGTCAAATCTGATAAATGCTTACGGTAATTCTCTATTTGTAATATATATATATCTCTCCAATGGTTGCATATTGTGCATTATGAATGCCAGAGTTGAAATCTGACTAAGAAATTTGCTTCCTTAAGGGGCCGTGAGTTCAAAAAATATTCAAATTTAATGAAAATTCCTTTGAAAATGTTATACAAATCTCCAATTATTTGGCAACTGCGTCATGAAAATTTAATCCCAATAGTTAAGAAATGGATTTTATGTGAATATTAAAAAAAAATTATTATAAGAACAGCACCTATTAACTGGAACTGAGGGATAATGCAGTGATAAAGAGATGCAAGCACCTGTCCGACACACAAAGAAGAATACTGTAGTGATAGTAAGACGAGTCCACAAAGTATATACCCAGCTGGTGCCTTTCTAGCATTACTGAGTAATACATAATAACACAAATAATAATGAATATGTTATTATGCTGTATTTTGTTATACAGTACAGTACAGTATATCATATACAGCATATCATATAAATACTTTGGCCAACGCCAATATCTGTTAGTTTCACCAATATCCAAATTGTTTGTTCTTTAGGAGAGGGTGGGGGAGGGGTGCATTTTTTTTTTTTTTACATCTTGTTGTTTTTTCTCCTTTGTTTATAATCGGATTTTGTTATAGTTTCTACATTTTGGGAATATCAAATTTACATCTACATCAAGCTTACAAGATATGACAAATTCGAACTACTATATTTATTGTCAAGAACTTTGCCTTCATTTTTCTCCATGAACACAATTTTCAACTTTATGAAAAGCTGTTAAATTCAGTTTCTGAGGAATTCTCACTATTTTTACATATTACGTGCGAAGTCCTTAGTTCTAAGGTTTCTATTGGGGTGTTTATTCATAAACCCATAACTTTGGGAGTTATACATTTTTATGTCTAAAGTTTGCACATATTTTGAAGGCCACATTGACTACATTTTTTTACAGTAACTATACTCTCAAATTAATTTTAAGTACTGTACTGCAATAGAAAATGAACATTATATGCCCTTCTGCACCCATAATGAATAAAATAAAAATTGGTGAAATATTAAATTCATCAACTTAATTTGAAAATGTAAAATTTTCAATTTTTTTGTTTCCTGTTCATGTTATGATATTGAACCATTATTAAAAGTTGGAGCATTTACCATGTACATTAGGCACAAAAAATTTGAGGAAGGTCGATAAATTGTTCTCCCAGCCCCTTAAAATGGGACAGACATAATCAACCTCTTCAATAGCAGTGCCTGTGGGATTATTAGAGGCAACACCAATATAGCTGGGAACCCGATAAAATTCTTCTGTGTTAAGTCTGCTAAATGAGGCCCAACCAATATTAGACATTGATTACTACATGATGAGAAGAGTTATAATATACCTAGGCAGTGACAGAACTGCAAATGTCAAACTACAAGAATTAATGATCATTGGCACATGAAAAATATGACTCAGAGCTTACAAAATCACATAAGCATAGCAGTAAAAATATTTATATCTGGGGAAATGGGGCACATAAATACAGTATACTGTATAAGAAAAAGTAATTGAGAAGCCAAAACTATCAGCAGACTTTGACCCATATGTAAAGATAACAGTAATGCAGGAATAGCAGTAAAAATTATTAAGGAAAAGACATTTTGGGACAATAGAGGGAGGTATAAAACTTCACCATACAACTTTAAAGATTAACAAAATTTAAAATGTGAGAGTTTCCATGAGGGAAAGGTAGGATCCATATGAGGGGAAACACTGCTGACATGCTCAAAGAAGCAGCTATTAACACTTTCGCGCTCTCCGCAAAGGTCACTCAGCCAACCGAATGTGCGCGCTGCGTTTTTATCGCTTAAGCGTAAAAACAAAAATGTGTATACTCTTTTTACTCTTCTGACCTTAGTTCTCATGCTACGTATTTCATTTTGGTACCAACGTGTTCGCAATAAAATTCTCTAGAAGAACATCAGTAAAATAAGTCACGAAACATATAGGGATACCAGCACCAAATAAATAACTACGTAGATGACTCGCCGTGAGCGCCCATCAGCAACAAAATGTTTTTACTCTTGGGATTGTAATCACCTCCACACTTGTTCTACAGCGTTAATTTTGGTATCAATAGACTCGCAATGAAATTCCCAACACGGTGATATGAATATAAGCGTAGAATAATGATGCAGCCCGCCCGCAAGAGTGTGGGAAGTGGTGAAATTGTTTTCCGGTATCGGTGACGGGACGACGCACGGCGCTTTGAAAGTTTATACTTATTTCACTCTCATGACATTAATTTTTTATGTACGTCATTCATTTTTATGTCAATGTGTTCGCAATAGAATGTTCTATGTGCCCATAGGTAAAAAATATCAACAAAGCGTAAGTTAGAATAACTACAAATATAAAACAACGCTGGAACATATCAGTGAGCGTCAAACACACACAAAATATTTTTACTTTTGTTATGTTTGTCAAGTTTATACTTGTTGCACACAGTTATTTTTGGTTGTATATTGATCGGAATAAAATTCCCTAAACAGACATATGCATATAATACATGATATAGGGGAAGAATTACCAGTATAAACGGCTAAAGTCACCCACCTGCAACCCGTTTGGGACAAAATACCATTTGATCGAAGTTATCCACACCTTTCATGAACTTATTGTACCATGAAGCCTAGTGGTGAGAAAGAGAGCCTCATGGCGCGCAGTTTGAAACAAACCCAAAGTAAATCGGATAAAAATTGAATTTTATACAAATATTTTAAAAGTTGACATAACTTTATGTCCACTATGCGTTAGCGTTAGACGAAACCGAACGCGCCGGCGCG